GTTGCTTGGCACAACCTATTTTGTAAAACAAAAGTTATAGCGAACTTGCAACTCGAATCGGAGCAGAATTTTTATGAAAATGTGTGGATACGACGCAGTTCATATTGCTTTATTTATCGTTTTTTCCGCTTTAAATCAATTATATACTCATTTCAGAGTTTACCATTACCTTCGAAATATTAATTTTGTATCATTTACTAAAATTTCATTAAAAAGATATGTTTATTTTTCTAAGAAAATAATGATTTTTACAGAATGATACGACGCAGTTGAAAATAAAATATGATACGACGCAGTTGTATTTTTTTTGCCAGTCTTTTCAACAGGGATAATTTTTGGCAATACATGTCTATTTCATTGAATAATCACTTGCGCTAGGTAAAAATCCAGATTATTTGCGGTGTTAAACGATGTTCTGTTGCTTTTGTTATTTAGAAAAAACATTTTTGTATGCAATAAAACAATTTTTATTTGAAATTTTACATTGCAAAGCTCCCTTTTACAGTTAACATGTTATTTTTTTGGAAAATAATTTTTAATTTTTCCCTGAAAGGTTTAATATTACCCCTTTTTTTGGCAAAAAATTATGGGGTTATAAACCTGAATTTTTTTTTGGGGGAGCTACGTCTAAGTTAACTGGGGTTCTGCATGTTCGGGGTAAAAACTTTTTTTTAGGGTTTTTTTTCAACTTTCATTACACCCTTAGCTGTACTAGGGGGAAGACCCAAAGGGGGCCCCCTTTTTTGCATTATTTCAGGCAAAAAGTTCAAAGTCGAGAACAATTTTTCATTTTGAAATAGCTTGATAGAAATTTCCCCAGAAATAATCAAAAATCCCTGGTTTGGGTTTTGAATTCATAGCAGTTCAGTTTCAAGTGATTTGAATTCAATAAACGTAAACAGCTCGGCTTTGGTCGAACACCTGTCTGATTTTTTTCTTCAACAATTTTTTAACGTCAGTTGTACAAATAAGCATTTTTTAGTTTTTTTTTTTTTTATAAATATTTTGAATTAATTATAAAGACAATAACATTTAACTTTCTTATTGAAATGAAATATTTTACTTAATCTCTAAGATTATTTTAACTTTTGATCTTTCGGTTTCAAATAGCAGAGAAATTTTCAATGTAAACAGGGGGTAATCCTCTTTGAAGTCATTTTCTGAAAAATTTGTTTTGATTTCTCAGGCAATTCATTTTTCAAATAAAAATCACAACTTTAGTTAGGTATGTTTTAGATGCCATGTCCTCTAGTCTGTGGAAAATTCGATGCGATAATCTAAACCTAAATTTTCTCTTCAATAAAGTGAAAACTTCTTCAATACTATTGAAACATCCTGTCGTGCATACATCTGTATCAAATTTATCGATGCAAAGCGTGAAATACCATTGCAAAACGGACACCTTCTTGTAGTTTTTATCATTTTAACTAGATTTTGAAAATTTAAAGTTTTTTAATGGAAAAAGAATGATACTTTAGTGCAAAAATAGAAAATACATTCCGTAGACCTGTTCTCATCGGCGATAAAGAAATGCAATACGACAAAATCGGGGTAAAGTTCCGTGGCGCTGAACATTAAAATGACTGAACGGAACGCATACAGAAAATATATCGTAGCTTAAACCATTTATAATATAATTTTTAATAATTTAATGTTCAGTTTCAAATAATAAAGCTCATCTGTTTTCTCATCGATTATATACAAAATGAATACAATAAAATCGACATGTAAAAGACATAATAACGGAATTGACGGAAATTGTTGCTAATTATAAGTAACAAAGGTATATAGGCATGCAATTTGTGCATACTTCTCTCCAGATAGCAAGAGACCTTTACAAAATTCTTTAAACAAAAATTAAAAAAAACAAACCAAAACAAAGGCCCTTCCTGATTAATACATGGTCCAGCAGAGGTTACCCTGGAATATTGAATTTTGTATCAAAATTCAGTAAATGAATTAAGTAATTTTTCGAACTCACGGGAACATGTTTATAAGCATGCTAAGGCAACACTAGAACACGTTGTCATATGGGTGTGCGATCACGTGTTTAAATGTATTTTGCATTTGATACAGCTTTTCGGAATTTGTAGATGCTTATGACAGGAACTAAAAATGCGACCGAAAAATGAGGCCTTAATAGAATTTTTATTACATTTTCCATTTTTGTGGAACCAATGAGTGACCTCTGCTTTTGATTTAAGTTGTAAACAAGAAATGTTGTTGGACGTTATTAGCATACCTAGCACATAATTTAATAGCTGAACCAATATGCAGCCTGCAGTGAAAATAAAACTGCGTCGTATCATATTTTATTTTCAACTGCGTCGTATCATTTTGTAAAAATCATTATTTTCTTAGAAAATAAACATCTCTTTTTAATGAAATTTTAGTAAATTATGCAAAATCATATTTTGAAGTTTATAGTGCACTCTGAAACGAGTATACAATTGATTTGAAGGAAAAATCGATAGATAAAGCAATATGAACTGCGTCGTATCCACACTAATCTGCCCCGATTCGAGTTGTTAGTTCGCTATAACTTTTGTTTTACAAAATAGTTGTGCAAGCAACATATACCGAACAAAGCGGAAAATTGTGTAGCGTGTTAATACATATATCTGGTTTTCAGTCATTTCCAACAAAAAGAGTTATAAACAAAAACATACGTTTTTCGTTCCAAGATGGCGGCGTTTGTTTACATTTTGTAGGATACGACGCAGTTTAGATTCCCAGCCCTGTTCACAGACGATTAACTGTGCGAAAGATATTGCCTTACTGAGGTATTGTTATAGTCCGTTGCGTTGCCGTTGCCATTGCCGTTCGCAAACATGAACCTGGATCATAACTTTTTTAAATTCTTGGTTGGGATTTTTCTTTCTCATTTTCCACGCAAACCCTTAGGACAAAGGGCCTTTTTAGTAACCGACTAACCTTTACCTTTATTATAATGCTTTTACATTCAAGGGGCAAATTGTCCCAAAATTTTGTTGTTTTGCTATTATTGGCTATAACTTTGTTATTTTTGAATGGATAGTTTTCAAACTTGAAAAAATATCTTCAATGATAGCCTTTGAAATTAACCAGACAGACCTTGACCTTCACTCATAAATGACCTCGACTTTGAAAGTCAAATTATTGAAATTTTCTTCTTTTTTTGACTGTAACTGGCTGTAAATTTATTGACTTCATATTATTGACTTCATATTATAACAGAACATTCTTAAGGAAAAGACCTTCATGTATATTAAACTCAAATTGACCTTGACTCTTGTATGACCTTTTAAGGTTAAATTATTGAATTTTCACTGATTTGTGCATTAATTGACTATATATATTGTATATATGTTGGTGTCACATATAAATAGAGAGAGAGAGATAGATAGATAGATAGAGAGAGAGAGGGAGAGAGAGAGAGAGAGAGAGAGAGAGAGAGAGAGAGAGAGAGAGAGATAGCTAGATAGCTAGATAGCTAGATAGATAGATAGATAGATAGATAAGAAAAAATAATATATATAGACTAAATATGTTAAGATTTGTTCAAACGTTTCTTTGTTTGCTTTTAGAAAAAATAAAAAAGTGTCGAGCGTAGCCCCCACCCGGTTTTTTTCGACAAAAAAAATTAAAAGCTTTTGGGGTAAAAGTCAAGCCTTTTCGTTTGGTCCTTTTTCCCGGGTTGCTGCCCTTTAAAAATTTAACTTTTAAGCCGTTTCTGATTTTTTTTAAATTTCTTTTTTGGGACAAAAATTTAATACAAAAAAAAAAAATTTGCCCTTTTTTTGTTTTTAAATAAATAAACCCTTACCTTTAATAAACCACCCCTGTCATTTTATTAAATTTTAAACCCTTTAGATTGTCATACATTGTTATGTTTTAACAAAAAAAACCCCCTTAGGGAAAAAAAACCCATTTTTTTTAAATTTAATTTTTAAATTTTTGACTTGGAGTTTTTTCTTCGGGTCCTTGACCGTCAATGTCAAATTATTGAAATTTGCTGGAACGGTCATAATTTTATTATAATTATATTTACAGACTTGATCTAAACTTGGAAAAAGACCGCATATGAAGAAACTGACATGTTAATAATTCTGACATGACCATGACCTTAAATTGACCCTGTACGTCAAGGTAATACTATTGAAATTTCCTCGAATTGTTATAACTTTGTTTTTTAATTACAGATTTACTCTTGGACATATGACAAAACAGACATGTTGAATTATTCTGATATGACATTGACCTTTAATTGACATTGACCATTTTGGTCAAACTATTGAAATCTGCTTAAATTGCCATTTCTTTATTATTTAGTTGATTCATTCATGGACAAAAGAACACTTATGACAAAACTGACATGATGATAATACAAATGTGACCCTGACCTTTGGGCGGGAATGGTCTTATGAAACAATTAATGTGTTTGCCATAAGATATTTGTAATAAGAACAATTATAGTGACTGAGTCTGTATAATTTCCCGCTCATGACTTTTTCTTTCATATAAATATATATATATATATATATATATATATATAATATATTATATATATATTATATATATATATATATATATATATATATATATATATATAATATATATATATATATATATAGCGGGGAAAAAGAATGAAGCGATGCCTTTTCCAGTTTACATTGCAATTGTTTATTAACAAAACTGTAATAATAATTGAAGAGAAATAACAACCCGGTTTCAACCCGTTATAAGGGATCTTTCAAGATAATGACGGTTAATATAACGCCGCTTTGGTAACGACGGCAAAAAACAGTGTAAAAGGGAAACGTTTACTCTTATAACTTTTAAAGGGAAACTAATAATAAGCTTTTAAATATTATTGTTATATATATATCAAATTTATTTTGAATTTTCAATTTCTGGTTTTTTAAAACGTTTTATTTACAGTTTCTTTATTCTTCTTTTTTGAATGGTGGTCGTTCTCCATTTTATAGATTGGCCCAATTAGTTGATGTCTCCTTGTGCAAATGGCAATGTATGTCGGACCTGAGGACTGGTAATAATGCATTGTCTGGATTTTCGTATATGTTGGTTGTTAATGTTAACTCCGAATTTCTTAAATTTTTTGGGGGAAAAGGTTTCTCCGCAATAATAATCTTTGAAGCAGCCATTTACCATTTTCAAGCATAAAATTACATTTTTATTTCGCATGACCTGAGAATTTTACTTTAAATTCCCGCGGCCCCATTTTTTGAAAATTGGTACGTTATTTCCTTCCCTATCAAGTTGTTTGCACAGGCCGCATTTTAAAAAAACTGCTTGGCATCTTATTATTTATTCTTTCTCAGTGTTGAAGAAAAATCGTGCCCTGGTCAAACAGTTTTTTCCAGATTAGCCGGTTGTCTTTAACTTTTAATTATGTTTTTGTTATGGGTTTCTTTTCAAAATTCAAATTTTCATTATTTCAATCATTTGTAAAAATTGGTAGATTTACTTGTTATTACTGCGGAAAAAAATTCGGTACTCCCTTGGATTATTTGTGTTGACACGTATGGTTATGACTTTTTTCGTTCCGTCTTTTAGGTTTTTTGTCTTCCGTAGTTTCCTTGATTGTTCTATTGCTTAAGCTCTCTGGGGATGCCGTTTTTTGTATTAAGTTTCTGGGAGAAAGGATATATTTTTAAAGAAAGCCAACAATTTGTTTAATTCATTCAATCTGAGATGTAATATGTCCTCTATTTGATATAATTGTACAAAAGTCGTCTAGCTAGTGAGAAATGGGATGTTTTGTTTTGTGTGTTTTGGATGACAATAGTTGAATAAAAGATATTGTTTAGTGTCAGTTGGTTTATAGTAGATATCTGTTTTCTATTTGGTCACCATTTAATTTAACTAAAACATCCAGAAACGGCAATTTCTTCTATGCTATCTTCCAATGTGAATTTCAAAATCTTTATGAAATTTATTCAGTACAATGTTTTAAAGCAATTCAATTCGTGCTTAGATTTAGGCCATAAAATAAACACATCGTCTAGAAAAGCGTTTCCAGTAATTCATGATATAAAAACTTTTGAATTCGGTATTATAAATTTCTGCAATTTTGGGATACAGCAGTTCCTCCTCCACATAGCCTAATACAAGTGTTGCATACACTGGAGCAAATTTTGTGACCATGGCAGTGCCTTTTATTTGTCTGAAAAACGTATCATTAAAGTAGAATGTATTTTTCTTTAAGATGAATTCTGTGGCTGAAATGATGAAATTGTTTGTATCAAGTCCGAATGATTTTCAACCCAAAATTCTATTGCTTTAAGGCCTAGTTCATGAAAAATGTTTGAATATAAAGATTCAACATCAAAACTTGTTAAGATGATAACCTTTTCCACCGTAATGAGTTTTAAAAATCTGTACTGTCTTTTATGTTGATTCTTACGAATGTGGTTAATGGTCATAGAAGAACGTCTAAAAGGTTGCTTAATATATGATTTTGGCAGCTAGGGCCTGCGACGATAGGCCTTACTTTCAAACATCGGTGACATTTGAAATTTTAATTATTGTTGATGATTTTTGTGTCGAACACTTCTCATTTATCTGTTTAATTTTATGAATTTTAGGTAAACTATAAAAGTTTCTTTATCACTTCAAAATTTGTTAGATAATCATATTCTTTGTGTGTGAAACAGGTCTGAAATCGATCAATAAGTTTTCTGTAATTTAACTTGTCCTTATGATTAGGATCTGTGTCCAAATATTCATAATACTGTGTATCGTTGAGTTGACATTCAATCATTTTAATGTAATGAGAGCAGTCCATAATTACTACTGCTCCCCCTTTATCAGCTTCTTTGATTACTATATTTCAGGGATCATTTGGCCAATAGTTCAATAGCTGTCTTCTCAGATTTTTGAAATACATGTATTTGATTTTACTGTATTGTTTCTTGTTTTGAGTTTTCGGATAATTGTTTAAATTATCTATAAATGTTTCTAAAGGATGAGTTCCTGTTCTTAGGTGGTATAAAAGTTACTTTTATTTCTGACAAGTGAAGTGTCATTTTCATCTTCTGCTCCGTTAAAGTATTCTTGCTAATCGAAGTCTCCTATTGTATAATATAATCCTATAATATATATATTATATATATATATATATATATATATATATATATAGTATATATATATATATATATATATATATATATATATATATATATATATATATATATATATATATAATATATTATATATATATATATATATATCACATAGAATAGTTTTGCATTTCAATCCGTAAGTCATATATGACATCATTTTGGCGCAAACCTATTCTATGTGACATTTTCGTGCTAAAACATTTTTAATGGACAGATTTTTTTAAAACTGGAAAAAGAAAGATTTAAGCTTTCTTAAATACACACTGTAGCTATATTATATTGAAAAATTCTTAAAACTTAAGAATTGGGAAAGTTTTTTCCTTCTGAACATTTAAAAAAAATGAACATAGACTAGTTTCGCGTTAAGCCGTCAATATGTAGGTATCTAGTATGGACCACTTCATTTGGTGATGTTTAATGTTACTATTACTTTGATAGAGGTTAGATTTACAAAGGTTAGAATGAATCTTTTTTTGTTTGTTTATTATCACGTTTGTCTTTACGCGGGTCAGCAAAAAAAATGTCCATCACATAATATTCTGTAGGATCTTTTTAGATGGTAACCCAAACAATGTTTGTTTTGTTTGTCTATTTTTGTTTTGTTTTTGTTTGGGAATTTTTTTAAAATTTTATTGGTTATAGGACTTGTGTCCCTTTTTTTTTAAGAAAAAAAAACCGGGAAACGGGCCCGAACCCGAAACCCATCCCGGGAAATTTTGAAAAACTTGAAAATTTTAATTCCGAAGTTTAAACAAAAAAAAGCATGCTCTTTTTTTGACCTTAAAAACGCGATTGAAGGATAAATTTTTTTCAAAAAGGGGCCCTAGCTACGTTCAGGGAAATAACGGGTTTTGGGACTTTTAAAACGACTTTCTGGGCAGAAAAAAAAGGGAAACCACGTTTGGGAAAATTTCAAAAAAAAAAACAAAAAAAGTACGTGGGTTTAAGGGCAAAGGGGAAAACAGAAAAATAAGAAATCACCTTTTTTCGGGAATGGGCAAGTTTCCATTGAAACATGCGTTTAACAAACTTTTCCAATTCTTTCCTTGCTTTTAAGGGGTTTGGTTAGGGAGAAGATAAAAATTTTGGAAATCTACAAACTCAGACATGGGGAAACGGGGCCCAGAAGTTAAAAATCGAAAAAATAAGAACAACTTCTCTTAAAAAGTTTTACCTCAAACAGAATTGCACTTTAAAAAAAAAGGACCCCCATGTAGTAACTGATCCCGCGTGAAAAATCCAATGGGGAAAAGTCGACAGTTGTGCTATCAAATTCGCTTGCCCTTTTGTACGGTTCAGAGTAGACGAAAATCAGGGTTTAAGGGTTTGGGGTTAAAATTTCTTTTATCAAAAAAATGGTGGGGGTAAAAAATTTCTTATTTTTGTTAAGTCCCCCAAGACGTCTATTTAAAAAACCCATTAAAATTTCCCCAATAAACCCCTTTAACAAATTTAGGGGAATACCCCCTCAAAAAGGAAAAATTTCCCCATATTTTTTATAGGTATGACAAGTACTGAAGTTGTCGGTATTGATGAGTCAATAGATCTTAGAGAAATTGATAATCTTTTTATGAAAAAATACTTTAACAATGTACCAGTATTTGAATATTTTACGGTTGATTATAAGTCAAAGATATTGCTTATTATTGAAATTTCCTCTAGCTGTGGGTCTGGTAGTCCGTGTGTTGTAGAAAGGGTTTTCAAAGGATCAGATGGGGTTGAAGTTCAGAAAAGGCAAGTTTGGGTAAGGACTGGTAACCGAAACACCGTTTGCAAAACAAAAGATCTCACTGATCTATACCAATGGTTTTCAGGACAGTTTCCTAAACAGTCTGTCAAAGAAGGAACAAAACTTGAGAACATGCAGTCAGTGCGAAATGCCGGGACAAACACACAACCTTCAATTATAAGCAAGACGAAATATGCTGATGAGAGTTCAAGTTCCGATGAAGAACCACTTTGTTCTTCCGGAGATTCTTTTAGCTTCTTTTGGGATGCTGTTAAGGGTTTCAAAAAAGGTCATTTCATTCTGCTTGCAGGAAATATTCAGTGTGAAAAAAAGCATTTGGAAGCATTGTCAAAGGCACCATGGATATGTGTTTATGACTTTGATATATTTAGCTACTCTGACGGCTTACTAAATGCTCTAATGGACTCTTTAACAGTTGAACGCCACTTATCTATAAGTTGTTGGAATGACACTGCGGAAAATATATCTGAGAGGGGAACACGATGGTGTTTTATGAGAGGAAGGCGAGAAATGAGTGATTCGCGAACAGACTTGAAGAATGACGAGATTGAAGAGGTAAACTCTTGGTTTAAGACCGTCAAGAAACGACTGCAGAATTACTGTGAAAAGGTTGTCAATTTTGCTGAGGATTACACGGTTCCAACTATTGTATTTATTTGGCCGGAAGAGGAAAGACTTGTGCCTTTTATGGTAAAATTTTTGCTCTGCCTGGATGATACCTTAACGAGCACACCAAATATCGTCCTGTGTATGAATAGACAACCTGTAACCAAAATTGGGCGTCATAAATACGAACTTCTTTGTGAAGATTTTTCAAACAACATAAGTTTATGCAATTTGCGGTACGAACAGATGTGCATCGGAATAAGAAATCTTTCTGCTGTAAGAACAACTGATGGCCTGTGCTATGACCTTCCTAAAAATGAGCGTTTTGAATTACCAACCATAACAGAAACAGATGCAACTTGGCTTAAAGAAGATTTTGAAGTTCTTTTCCTGAACAATCCATACGACACTGCAAACATATCCAAGGAGGAAATCCAAGAAGAAGTGAATAATTTTTTTAAAGGGGGGACATTACCATGGTATGCATGGTACAATAGAGAGGCAGAAAGCTCGGTCATCGATCGCGACATTCAAAAAAATTTGGGGGAAAAAATCAGCAAACTTTTAGACGAATATAGAACCAGCATAATTACTCTTTTTCATGCTCCTGGTTCAGGTGGAACAACACTGGCGCAGAAAACATTGTGGCATTTTCACAGAAAAGTACCTTGCGTTCATCTCAAACTGCGTACTGTTTCCCTTCTAGATGAACTAGATAGGAAAGTCTCCTTTCTTCACGATCGAACAGATCTGCCCGTACTCCTTTTGGTTGACGGAGAAGAAGAGTCTAAAGTTCGGAGACTTTCAAGACGTTTGAAGTATACTGTTATCTTGTACATAAAACGTTATCCGTACAAAATCCCAGTTTCAAACATAGCATACGATCGTGTATACCTTTCGGGTAAGGTATCATCAACTGAATCACTCGGGTTAGAAACAAAACTTGGTGACATGTGTGGTGATAGTGGTAAAAAAAGGAGGTTGCACATATTAACAGATGATATAAAGAATGGGAAATCAAATCACTGTATGTATGAATATGGGATGACAGTATATCTACATGAATTTAAGGGAATCGTGTCTTACGTAGAAGGATATCTTGAGCTGTATAACAATCCAGGCAAGGAGTTGACAGCAAGCCAGAAATGTTTAGGATATCTTGCTCTTGTTTACTACTATGGACAAACATGTGTCCCATGTCAGTTCTTTTCAGCTCTTTTCAATAAAGCGCCCAATTTCAATATGACATTGGAAGATTTTCCAGCGCCGATACAAGAGTTTGTCGTGTACGATAAGAATGAGGGAAAGAGAAACAACATTCGGATATGCCATTATATTGTTGCCAAAGAAATTCTAGAGCAGATATTATCGAGACATATATCTGTTACGCCTGATAGAACAGATACACTAGGAATGATTGCATGTAGAAATCTGTCAAAATTTTGTATGGATTTCATTGAATATGCTAGTAGTAAGAAAACAAAGGTCAGTGCACTTTCTACAACAATCAGGTTCATCTTGACGAAAACATTCATTTTTCGAGACGAAAAAGACATGGGTGATAACGAAGAACAGGTTCGCAAGCGACCAGTGTTGTCAAAACTGATGATAGATATTCCTGGCGGAAAACCCCTTTTTACTGAAAGGCTTAAGGTTTTAAAGAAACTGACTGAGTCATTCCCAGATGATCCTAACTATTTTGCTCATCTTGGTCGATTCCATGCTTTCTGTAGACCAGACGAAGACAACGAGGCAGAAAAATGCTTTAGAAAAGCTATAAAAATATGTGAGGATCAAGTTAAAGGCAAACGAGAAGATGAAATAGACGAAGGAATGAAATTAACAATGATGCACATATACCACATGTATGGTATTGTCAAACAGAGATATATATCAAAATACACTGGCCGATCTTATAATGAAAAGGTAGTTGCTTTTAACGAGGCGTTCATCTTTCGTGAAAGAATTGAAGAACTTATACCTGTCGCTGAAATAGCTTGTGAATATTTCAAAAAGTCTCGGGATATAACACCTGATAACCATGATGTGTACACATACGCATACACAGGTGAAATACAGCTTCGATTACAAATCTGTGACTTTGTTAATCGCCATTTTAGAAATGAAAATGCTGCAAATCAGATTTTAGAATTTTTACACTCTAAATCAGATCATCGAGGAAAGTTGTTTGTTAAGCGAAGCATATCTGTTATAGAGAATTTAATTCTCGAGTGCTACATGGATATTGATCTAAGGGATAGTGATATGAGGACTTTGCGCCATTATGTGATTTGGTACAACACACTTTTCAGAAAGCAGGTTATTCCGCTGATAGAAAGTTCTGAAGATAATGTTAGTATGAGAAGATTAAAGATTGCTGCAAAAAAACTTAAGTATGGTAAATCTTGTACTCTTAGTGGCGTTGAAACTATAGATGACGAAACGGAAGTAGAAGAAATTGTCTCATTATATGAAGCAAACTTCAATGACATACAAGAGTATGGTTTCCAAGACGGTGATGGAAAAAAAGAGCTAGAGAGAGACTACAGAGACTGGATTTATGCTGTAAGACATGAGAAATTCAAAAAAGATTATTCTCTTGAAGAGGTTCTAAGTCACGTTCAGGTTTGGAATGAAAAAGTAAGGTCTCCTATTTCGACCTTTTACCTCTTTATCTTGAAAAGTCTTTTAGGCTTTGGTACCGAGTATTTAACAGGCAAGACTGAATGTTTGATAGAAGCTTTGGATTGTAAAGAACAGCTTATAAAGATGAATCATTTAGTTATTCGTCCCAAGTATCCAAGGGAATGGCTAGGTAACGAAGGGAATGGTATTAAACGTCTTAAATCAGGTAACCGTCACGTTGGGATAAGTTCAGAAGATAGAGATTTTGCCAGCAATAGAATAGATCTCGCTTTTTGTAAAGGAACCATTTGCCGACCAAACACCAACAAAGTTAACGGAATGATAGCACTCGATCTTGGCGTTAACACCGCAGAAGTCCGTGTTTACTTCATTCCAAAGATTGTAAGGCTAGAAGGTAGTCGTTTTGCCGAACAAAGAGTTGAGTTCAATCTGGCGTTTTCAGTTCAACATGGTTTTGAGGCTTACAATGTGAAACTGTTAAAGCGTCATGGTTGTCCTCATTGTTCTAGGAAAGTTGAGTTTACTAGCATGGAATCCTATCTTAGATGTAAATGTGGCAGGGATTTATACAAGGACGCATTAAATGAACTAAAGTAGAAATGAAAAGTTGCTATACGGTGGACATCCTCAGCTTCAGCCCCTAACTATAATTTTTTTGACATTAATATTTCATAGGCAAGAAAATGGAGTAAGAAGTAATTTATATTTCAGCAAACGCATACTATCGGCTAGAAACATAGCTTTTGTTTTTGTCTCTAACAATATTGGCACTTGTAGAAATAACTTTTCATTTCCGAATATTCACCCTTTCTTAAAGATTTTGATTTACTAACAAATACGTCATGAAATAACGAAAATAATATAATGTTCTCCTGTAACAATTTGTCAAATGTATTGAAACATTTTTGATACGCATGCATATGCCATAAGATAAATGATCGAATTGAATATACACATTTTTTGCTTTTTTGTTTTTTGTTGTTGTGTTTTTTTGTTTTTTTTTGTTTTTTTTTTTGTTGTTGTTTTTTTTTACTGTTTTTTATCAAATCTCGTCATATACATTGTAGTTTTCGAGGTTTAGCATATCATTTTCCTTTAGTTTGTTTATTGTAAACTTTTATCGGCATGTCCTTTGCCATCTTTTCTTCGAATCCTTTGAATTGGTGTCTTCAAATTGCCCTGATAGTGTTAATAGTTTTATATAACGTTTACAATTAAAATATTGGAGCATATAAAGATGGGGTCGATACGTGCGTAAGTAAGTCACCTCTACCTTGTCCGATCAATAATTTGGGAAGGAATAAAGTGGTTGAAATTTTGTAGGGATATTGCCCAATGACCAATAGATTGGCCTTTTTTGCTTTTGAGCCAGTTGGTCAAAGGTAAAGGTCATCGTGGACTTGACGATACAAATCTTAACCGATCTATTTCTAAACAACGTTTCGGCCTACATTCCTTTGCTATTGAGGTTCGTCATGTACACAGTGATGCATAGAAAACTTGTCTGATCAAGAAAAAATGTTTCGCCAGTCAAAGATTTGTCATACATGTACATGTTATACTATTATTACATACTTGTATATTACATATTAATATAACACTTGACTTTTTTAAACAAAATATTCATAAATATGTAAATATGCCTCTGTGATAAGAAATTGGGGCATAAGTGTCCCTTTTGCACATTTCTAATGATTTAACAGTTCTTGTGTGTGTTTCCACTATGTTTACATTTGTTTTAGTATCTGTTAGTATCTGTTTGAACAAATAACCTTAGTGATAAGTTTAAATATATGTTTTGGTTCTGGTTACAAATAATAAGTAGATTGTGTTATTTAATAAAAAAATAATTTAAGGTCCTTTTTAACAATTTAATGTATTATGAAAAATAAGTATTTTCATAAAACCATTAAAGTTCATAAACGGGCTTAATTCAAAATATCACAAAACCATTAATTTGGCAGTTTCGTTTTAATAACGGTTAATTGTAGCCATTGTTTATTTTATCTCGAAAGAGAGCAATTGTTCTTATAGCATATAATTATATTTGTAGTAGTTTTTAAACTGCAATGTTTTGTTTAAATCTATAATGTATATACATGTATATATTAAGTATTCTATTAAGATGAGGCAACAATGGCTATTTTTCAAAGAATTGCAGTATTTTTATAAACAAAAGTATTAATACGCACATAAGTGGGCTTTCCAGCATTACTTTGTATTATAAAAATTCTATGCAATACTTTAATGTTGCCGCTTTTGTGCAAAATTAATAGCAAAATTATTTTATAATGTAGATAAAAAGTTATATACATTGTAATTAAAAGGACATTAAGAGACAGGACCATATACTACCATTTGTCTTTGTTATCGCCAAACATCATATATTACAGTAGAAAATTTCATTATTGATAAGTCATTTGTTTATAGTGTATATTCAGAGCTAGACAATGAGAATCTATGTCCTTATGTTTATTTTTATGTATAGAAGAATATTTTTATGTTAAATGGCTTTTTTATTGTTATGTATAGATGATAAAGTTACTTCCTGAAACAGAGAAGGGCTTACAAAATGAATTAAAATTGTTATAGACATACCGTGACACTGGAAATTAAACGTTTATTGTACAACGATAAAGGTTTCTATTTTTAGACAGAATTAATCTGATTTTTTATAAAGGCCAATTTCTTGAAATTGTTAAAACTTGTACATATCTAGGAATTGTTTTAACTGTAGGTCTATTTTTTTAAATATTATATTTGGAACATTATCTGAACAAACATTGAAGGTATTGTATAGACTTGAAAAAAAGCTATTAAGATTTCCTTGCATGCCACTTAAACATATACTAGATCTGTTTGATAAACTTATTTTGCCAGTTCACAAGTTTGGGGATTAGTTTTCTTGATATCCATTTGTTAGAAAATATACATTTTGTTAGAAGTTTGTAACAAATTGTTAGGACAAAAAATAATTTGATCGTTAGTGAACTAATGAGAACATCTTTTGACACAATGAGATATGCTAATGTTATTAAATACTGGTTAATTTTTTTTCTGAAAAGTGTGTATGACCTTATGTGTAGATATTAGAACAAGAACCCAATGCAATGTCATGGAGTAAGTCTATCATGTATATTTTTTAAAACCTTAGGGTTTCAAAAAAGTATGGATTAATCAAGGTGCTGGAGATGTACATATATTAACTGATGCATTTATACAAAATAGGTCCTATACGGAATTTATTGAAAGAGACTCATCAAGAGCATGAAATTGTGTATTATTTTGTGATTTTCGAATCATAAACCTATCAATGGTAGATATTGAAAAGTTAAGGAAATATTCATCATCTTTTCGGAATGTCTTCACATAGATTAAAGGTAGAAACTTGTGGATAGCATAAACCTTAAGCAATGAAAATGTTCTATTTTCCTAAATTAGAAGATAAATTTTGTGTATTATTAGAATGTCCACTGTAAACAACTACATGTAATCAATATACATGTATAACTGTGTATATTTAAAAAACGTATGTGTAAAATTTATTGTATTGTTAACATAACAAAATCTGTACTATAGTTATTTTGTTCTTTTGAACCAAGTGCTATTTGATGGTACATTGTAGTATATATGCACAAATGACCTTAGCATTAATATCTATATAGTACTGTGTACTCGTGGGTACTCGAATTGCAAACATGTTTTATGTATATAATAATTATAATATGATTTCACTTATTTTTGTATAAAAATGTGCGTTGTAACCTCTGATCACCTTTATTGTGTTTCGTCCATTGTTCTGTCGTTTAAGGTACACACATTCTTTTGCTTTGGGATTCACGGAATGGCACAAACGGGTCACATTGAAAGTTCCATGATATCCGCCCTGTTAATATATCTGCGGATGTTTCTAAATTCAAAGTGTAAGCATTTTCATGTTTAATGTTTCATGTTCTTTTTCAAATATCGCCCATAAACAGACTCAACCGAGCCTGTAACTCTTTCAATTTTGCCGTTTTTGGCGGTCTTTAGGGATTCTGTTTTGTTTTGGTGTTGTTTTTGGGGGTTTTTTTGTTGTTGTTTTTTTTGCCATACTCAAAATGTTTCTTTCTGAGAATTTTCTTTTAAAATACTGATATGCCAATAAAAATGTTTTATTGAATATAGTATTCGTGCATAATTTTATATATAGATCATTGTTTTTCACTCTTTGCATAATATACCATATATTTTGAATTTTGAGTTGTTTGAGCAGCATCTAGTAAATGAGTGTATATATTTATCATTTTGAATCAAGTTGTAAATTTGTTATGAACTTATGGTAAAGGTAAAGCACCATGTCATATTACTATATTGTTACAAAGACACGTTTATTCTGTTTATGTTTTATATTCATAATATATTATTGGTTCACGTTGTGTCTAACGTTTGCTATATGTCATTGTTTTTATCAATTCTCAATTATCTTAACAATTTACAATTACAATGTCTGCAGCTCTGACAATCTACATTCCATGATCATTGGACTACTTAACTCAGGTTATATATGATATAAATAGATTTTGGTATCTTTGATAGAGATACTGATATATGTTGTATAAAATGATAAGTTATAAGTTAAAAAATATATTTTGTATTTTGCTCTGTTATGATATTGGCACGATTATTGTTATCATAATAAGTTGTGTGATGTGTTTTAAAATAGATATTGAAAATAAAAAATAAGCAACAGCCCAGATTGTGTTCATTACAAATACACCCGTACATTGATTATCTTAAGATAGACAAGTATGGCTGGACCATGCACATGCATACTGTATTCATTACACAATTTAAATAGTACTGACATTAGCAAATAAAGAACATAAAAAGAATGCTGCACAAAATGTTTTAATTGGTATATGCTTACAGTTACTAGACTAACTGATACAGCTTAATTTGCTATGAAAAGTACGGGTTATTTCCCTGTCTACACCATATCTTCGTGATATGATAATATAGGAAAGAAATATAAGTGGACTATACTCAGTATAAAGTTTTTCAAACATAATTTCCTGAAGTAATATGGATACAGTAAAATTAAGCAGAACAAAGACAAGACAAAATATAAGTGGAGAGCTGTATGTCATCCACTCAGAGATGAAAACCGTGACATTTTAAACATCCTGGTATAAAAGTTTCTCACATTTATTCAGAGCCTTTGTTACATTACATTTCTATACTGCTATATGTAAATTATACGCCCAAGATTTTAACTTAAAAATCATTCAAACAAGGTCAATACTTTTTATTTTGTTAAACATACAAAAAAGTCAATCTTTCAAGCTACGGGAGTTAACAATGTTACTAAGATGGACACAATGCAAATACACATGTTTAATTTAATTATAGGCTTATTGAAAATGTTATATTCATGTACATTTATTTTGATAAAATTAGCCATTGTAAAAAGGTAGATGTATGTCTTTTCCTAATTTTAACAGTATATAAAACGACGTTTAAACAGCAACAACACGTACGTACAGTTTTTCAAAATATAATTATTTCGTTATTGATGCATTTCGGTGAACAACACCTTCATCAGAATGATAATAATAATAATGATGTTATAATTATAGCGTAACATATGTTTTTTTAATAGTATATAAACAAAGTCCAGTTAGTACTGCAAATATGTTTATTCATTTAACTTTTCCATACAACACAGACACTTCATAACAAGTATATTCAACAGAAAGTTGTCTCGTTTAGAGAACTTTTATCACAGATAACAGAGTATACAATAGATGACATACATTAATATGCTAGGAAATCATTTTATGTAAAATATATCCTGTATATACAGCTGGGATATCCAAGTTTAGAAGAGTGTTTTGTGTAAATATCTTAAATATTCATAAAAACACACTTAAGAAGATACTCCTTTAAGAAAACATATTCATTCACAATATTTCATATAAGCACGGATTTATATTAAATCCGTGATAAGGTACAGTATGTAAGTCAACAACTCAATATGTGTATATGGTCTTTGGAAAGACATCTTATTTTTAAACAATGTGTTGTATTTTTAACAATTTTTTTACGTTTCATTCAACTTTAGTGTTGATTATATTCCATCTCATACGGCATAACTAGCAACAAGAAATATCCCTCTTTGCACACATTCAAAATGATCAGTTTTTCTAATAAATAATACTTGTCAATGTTAAAACATCAAGTCTGCTTCATTAAAAAAACCTACCATATATATAAATACTGTACAGTAAAATTGATGTTTAAAACCAAGTATAACTATATATCTAAAATGAGTGGCAGTTTGCTAAAACAGTTTCAATTTAATTGTCTTTTTATTTCGAAAATCAACATGATTTACTATTTTATGTGTACATGGTTCAAATAAACACTTTAATATTAGAACACATATTAACTTATATTTGTTTCAATATATATATATATTTAACCAAAAATTTCAAAGAGAAATATAACAAATGGATGGATATTGTCTATTTTTGGAAAACTATATTTATCTGGTTGAAGTGTTGAATTGCATAAAGTAAGAAGCAGTGGGAGGGTTTGTGTAAACTTCTTTATCCAAGAAGTCTTTATGAGAGGTTTGTTCTTGAGCCAATCGTCGGTTTTCATCAGCCATACGTCTGTTGAGTTCTTCTCTTTTGCGTTCAGCTTCACGCTCGAGCAACATGGCAGCTCGTGCATTTGCAACGCGCTGTCTGTCATGCTCCAAGTCTCGCAAATGTTGCTCCTGAGCAAGTCTCTGTAATAACAAAAATATTCAACATTCATCACATGAAACAATCAATACAGAATTTAAAGATGATTATATACTGATAATGTAGACAGCATTAGATGGTTACATGTTAAAGTGTTGTAAACTGCGGCCTTTGAATTTTAAGTTAATGTAGTATAAGGATAGCAACTACTGATGAAATAATACTACTTTCCTAATGTCCTAGGCTAAGGTCATATCACTTTTATAATTTTATTGTACGATATTGTATTCAAGATAAGCTATTGTTTTTCTTGTTTTTTTTTTTTTTTTTCATTCTCTGGTCAAAATAAAGAAAAACACATGTCTTTTTAGAGTTTTATATAATATCTGTTATTCTAGTATAGAACTGTCAATTCTAGTTTTCTATGTTGAATTGAATTTGAGTGAAGCAAACATTAGCTACAGCTTATTTTATATGAAAAAGAAACTGAGAAAAACAATGTGATACAATATGTATCCCTGAGATAATGTATAAGTTGTACATGTTGTTTGTATAGGTTACCAACTGATCAATAAATCAAACTGTACTAGTGATATCTCTAGTAAATATTTCCCTATCAGGCTATGGTGTTGATAGCCAATACAGTGTGATTACTCAATAGACATGATGAATAATTCATTAGAAATCAGCTAATCTTATCTTTCCTAGCTATCACTTTATTGTTTTTGTGAACAACAACAATTGTCTGCATGTGGATGCACTTCTTAATCTTATATGAAACTGCACAATGAAATATCCTATTAAGTAATCACTAGATTACTAGCAGAACCAGAATAATTACAAGTACTTTGTACAAACTAAAAATTATGATATTTCTACACAGACAAATTTTCCTCAAAACCAAAAGAATAAAGTAGAGAAATAAATAGTGCAGTACTGTATTATATATAGCATAGTTGTGTATTATAGGCACGGTAATCACGTGCAAGTCATACAGATAATGATACATAGTGACATTTGTAAGATTTACCTCTTTCTCAAGTCTTTGTTTATCCTGTTGTCTACGTATATCCTCGAGCTGCTGGGGACTCATACCCTTCCATCTGTCAGTAATCACTCTGTGAGGTCCAAATGCACTCTGTGCTACAGCTGGGTTCTCTGTTAGCACATCTCCAAACACATGGTTGGCTATCTCAGTCATATTGTCATCTAACTCTTGTTGTTTTTGTAGTCGTTCTTTTTCATTTCTTTCACGAGCCTAAAGCAAAAACATGACTTTCTATAATTGCTTTAACTGTTAGAAGTGCATATAAAAGCTATTATGTAATACATTATGACTTTCTTATTGAATAATATAGAAGTCTGGGATATATCACATTGATATTTTAAATTTTTAAGTTTAATTTTAGGAAACAATCAATTGTGAATATAAAGTTATGATTCCAAGTTGATGCTTTTAAAACTCTGAAAGAAATATTTTTAATTTACAATGTTGATGTTTTCAATACTCTAATGCACCAAATATGACAAAAGTTTTTCATGATAAATAAAAAGTAACATACAAGAGCATTATTATAATCTGTTGTTGCCATGTTGATATTTCTACGACATTCCTCTTCAGCTTTCTGTAGCTCCATTGCTCGTGCATCTAACTCCTTCATCTTCAACTCATATAATCTGTCTGCCTGAGCCTGGTTTTTTCTAGCTTGTTCCCTCTCTCTTTGTTGCTCTATTGACCACTCTCGTAATTGTTCCTGTTGATATTTACTTCTAGCCTTGCTATTCAAATCCTCACCTGCAAATTATTTTATATAATTATCAAACATTGTACAAAGAATACAAATAGTCTGTTTATTTTTATTCTCTACATTGTCTGGTTACCTTATCCAGGGAATATAAAAGTATTCTGTTATAATCTAATGGTTGTAAATAATGATTTATCACACACCCGTGCCGATTTTGCGACTCCGTAAATATGGTATTGCACGGCCGTGCATATATTTTGACGTGACGTCATTAGCGTTATACAAACATAGTGTAAAGACGCGCTAAATGTTAGCGTTATACTATAGGCGCGTCAATGAAAAATGACTCTTATTTCACTTTAAATGGTCTTTATTTTGGGTATGTGATAAATAGAATATTAAATTCGTGTAAGTTCATTACTGAATTTATTGCACTCGTTGAATAAAATAATATTATGCTCGCCAGAGGCTCGCATAATATAATTTTATTCAACTCGTGCAATAAATTCAGTATTGAACTTACACTCATTCAATATCCTCTATTTATTACACTAAATAGTCAGAAATTCAACTTCTAGTAGAATTTTGAATGATGTATTAAAAATAAACCTGCAATGGTCTCAACCTTTTGAGCTGTAAATCAAAACTACTCATTTAAGAATTAGCAAAGTAAAGTGCTGAAATTGCTAACCCGTTAATAAAATATTAAGATAAAACCCTTAATAAGATAACTTTTAAGACAAGCATACTTTACAGCCTTGATTACCTTTCCTTTCATATTTTTCAAAATTGTTATTATTTTTTTTTGCGGGAACATAATCTTCAATGTTATTAATGCAAACTTCTATTTAACTTGCCCTTTTAGTTAGCTTGAAAATAATTTCTCAATTTGTTTTGATATATTTCAAATTACAACATGAGCACACTCTGAAATTTCTTAAATAGTAATTTTGGTGTGTTCAGTCGCAATCTAAAAAGACAAAAATCTAAACAAAAAATCTTTCTGTGTCTTTAAAATCACATAAATTACAATGTAGTTTGAAATAGTAAATTTAGATTTCACCCCTGGATTGCTCAAATTGTTTGTGTCTAAAATTTTAGTACTAAATAATGGCATATTAGAGAATGAAAGTACATGCACATTTTGTGCAATGTTATCTTTTTTCCACATTCTGTGATAATTTTCTAATTAAGAATTGTCCACAACCTCTGTGTCTAAAATTGAAGGTTCACAAAATAAACTTCACTGTTTTTTTAAATACATGTAAATGGTTTTTGTTCCGACAAACACCATTACAAAGATGTTTTAGCAAGCAACTAAACAACTATAAATGGGTACGACTGTTCACTTATTAGTGCAGAAAATGTGTAAGTGGACGGATTATAAGCTCAGTCGGTAAGAGCCATGGTAAGGTATTATATCAGTCCCTCTTTCAAAGTAAGGTGATATGAAAATGTAGTTTCTCATGAAAACTAGCCAATTTCGTATCCAGCTGTCACATGGTCTTCAATTAAATTCTCTCTTATCACATATTTTACAGAGCATATATATAAATAAATACCATCAAACTTTTGTATGCTTGAAATTCCGCATCTTGGATCATCATCACTAACACGAGCTGGTTTATCCTTCTTTAGGTAATCAGGATCATAGAGATCAAACTCTCGCCTGCTGTCTGGTTGCTGATGAAGTGTTCTGAACTCGTTCAAAGCTCTGTTCAACTCAAACACATCTGATGATTGTCTTTTCTCCAGTAACTGAGAAATTTTATCATTTCTGACTGAATCAGCAGCTGTAACAGAACATTTCCTTATAAAATCACTTTTAAAGAATCATGGTCTACAAAGTCTAATTTAGATAACAGGTCTACTCAATATAGTCCTGTAGGCTTCAGTAACTGGCATTTAGCCTATTTTGAGCATTTAGATTATTTATGTCAACAGATTGAAATATGAATTTTTTTACAAAAACAGCAACTCCAAATGCTGTTTATTTACATGGTAATGCCAATGGCTGTTTACAGAGGGTTACTGAATACAGGTGAAATTATAATACAAGATACAACAAACTTTATTTTAAGTTGGTTTACAAATTACAAAAAAAAAAGTTAGCTAATAAGCTATTTACCGACAATAGCAAAGACATAAAACATATTTGAATATTCAACATGACGAGGACATCGAGGAGGCCTAGATCGAGTAGAGCGAAAGGTGCATTATTACGCTAATTATGATAACTAGGTTTAAAATAAAATGGTACAAAAAAATCTTTACCAAAGGCATCAGCCCTTTTCCTTTCATATTCTTCCTGTTGTTTCTTATCTTTTATTTGTTGTTCAAGTGCTTGCATATCAACCTGAAAATTAATTCAACACTAAAATTAAAAATCATACATGTAAAATAGCCCTACTAAATGTAGATCTACAGGTTTCGTGTAACCATAACTAGGCAAATTTTACATAGTATTTCTCTTGATCAAAAACAGATTATAAAAACAACCTTAACCCCATAAGAAATGACAGAAACAAAATTTTCAATGAAAGTTAAAATTTAGCCTGCTCACCCCAATTGTTCGCGACTTTGCATTAAATATCCTTGATTTTCTTTGCTCTTCCATGTTCCGGCGACGTTCAATAGCCGCCGCCTCCTTATAATCCACCGGGAGGTCTAGCTTATACATTTTTTCTTGCTTTTCAATCAAATTAATTTGTACAAATGTTAACTGAAAAAATTGATAACTATTGATGGCTTTGTTGTTATGTTGCACCGTTGTTATGCACGAAATTGTCGAAAGACGATTGGTTGGAATTATAATAACCGGCGTAGTATTATGATTTTATTACGTGCAGATTTATAGTATAGGTACATACCACTAAATATATCCATGATCATTTAACTAAAATAATAATTATAGTCAAGTTTTGCGTTGAATACCTTTTAAGCATAGATTAATGCTACTGACAGTTATCTTGCAGAGCTCTAATCTATTTCTTGTTTTATTTTAAGTGTACGTAATTAGTATTCCCTGAACATTGTGGAAATTGAAGATAGAATGACATATTATATAGAAGCAGTATAATTAACTTGATTACTCTAAAAAATAACAAAATAACTGATAAACTAAATTTTACTACTTAGACTTATTTCTTTTTAAACATATAATGGTACAAAATGAATGTCAGACGTTTCACTCCCAAGACGTTTCACTATTGAGACGTTTCACTCCCAAGACGGTTCACACCTAGACGTTTCACTCCCATTTTGTCAAATATGACAAACAAGATCAACAAGGAAAGGCGGCGTTCAATGAACGCAACCCCCATATGACCCAGCAACAAGAACCAATGGCAAGGAGCCCAGGCGGACCCAAAACAAAAACAGGACAGGGCAAAGACAGAGCACGGACAGGTTAATCATTAAATGATAAATAATTTGTAACTGATTAGGAATTCAAAGAAAATAATAATAGGCCCACAAAGGGGAAGGGGACAGGAGACCGGGGGAAGGGGGTGTAATCAAAGAAATAAAAACTAGAGGCAATGGGGAAGATACTTACCGTAGACGAGAAAACAACAAGGGACACAAGCAAAAGTGTCACCAAAACAGTATGAAACAACATAGACATACATCTGAGGAACACAGTGGGGCGCCGCCTTGGAACGGTCAGCAGCATAATAATGACTGCTGGGGAGTTTAAACCGGTTAATGGTGCACCAAACCTCATCAATTGTATGGACGTTTCACTCACAATTTTTAGAGATGTTTACTAGGAAAGTTAACAAATTTTAATTTCATTAATATCAAACAGTGTAAAAAGGAAATTCAATTTAATGTTTCATTTTGTTGATTTCAATGGTATTGTTAATACAAATTATTAATTATAATATATTACTCGTTTAATTATGGGTTGAGTGATAAGAGGTGTAAATGAAAGAAAAATTTCTGAAAATAAGTGTAACAACATGAGAAAATTCTGTATTGTTGTATCTTATTTTAAGCATTCTTTTAAATTACACTCAAGTCTATATGACGACTTAACAACTTTACTTGCATCGTTAGATACCCACACATTGATCATTACAAGTTACGTTACATATTAATCAACCGTGGGTATCCCACGTTGCTTAATTAGCATTTACTGCTTGAAGAAGACAACACACAGTGCTGAGAGGCAACTAGTTTAAAGTCAACGATCTTATAACCACTCGGAATAATAGGATTTAATTACAGCATTAATATTATCTAAAGAATGATAATTGTAATCAATAATGTTATAAAGAGTTCCATTAATTAAGGCACATGTTTATATAGACCTACATAACCATTAATTTAACAATTATGACTTGCAACAATAATTATTGACTTTGTCAAGTAAAATTTGTAATTGTTAAAGACCGTTTGTGCGGATTTTTAATTTACAGAAAATGTTAAAATATATAGATATCATAAGAACTTGTAACGGTCAACAAGGAAAGGCGGCATTAAATGAACGCGGCTCCCTCGATCCCACCACAATTAAAGCCGATTTTTTTGTTTATTTAATGCAAGCCGCCAAGTAAATTTATAAGATGTTAATTTAAGTGAGACTTGTATATAGACTGGACTGTAAATTGGAAACAATTCGAATTACCGCATATGTTCATGTATGTACAAATAATTATAAAGATACTGACTCTTTGAGGTTCTAATTTTTCGTCTGCGTTAGATATTGATGATCAACAAAGACCAAGTTGTTTTTGGACTCTTACAGTATTGATTTAATATTATATGTTTGTGCCATTCACCATCTTCATTTTATGTAAGACCCATTCTGACATTTATAAATTAATTTGGTATTTTCAAAGATAGCTGACTTACGTTGTTATAGCAGTCATCGATAACTCTCGCAAGAGATGTCGGCAGTACTCAAAGGTAGTAAGGTAGGTAGGTAAGTAAGTAAGTAGGTATATCAGTTATTGGAAAGTATGAGCGTGACCCTTCGGTTTTTATTTGTTTGGGACGTCAGACCAAACAAATAATGGTAGCGAAATTTCAGACCCTGATGCTGTTAGTTGCAAATGCCGAAAGTAGTCCGCTTTTTTTGAAGCGGTTACTTCCCTTTATATGTACACTTACGCCGAAAAATTCAGGGGAGATCACTGCGTAAAGATTGTCAATAGAATGATGATGTGAAAGTCCGAAAATCTATTTATAGAAGAAGTTTTAGTTTAACGGAACGGTCATTCGTGTCGCGCTATGGTAATAAATAACGAACTGTAGAATTCTGCAGGGAATGAAATGGTAATATATTCAAACAATTAAATGAACTCTTTATACATCTATAGAAAACATTTAAGTAGGCCATATTTACGAATTGTCATGTCATAGTATTATCATTTTAAAATTGTCTTTTCCGTATGTCTCTCCGGTTTTCTTGTTTTACGGCCTTGATTGCAATTATGACACTTTTACCTTGAATATTTTAATAGACCTAGTTCATAACTTTAAATGTCGCTTTTATTTTGACGTTGTGCGACAGTTAACAGGTCTAGCAATAGTATACTATAGTTCAAGTCTCTTTAGCTATAACTGTTCTATTTTTTGTTTGAAGGCAATCGATTTTATGATAGTTTGAGTAGAATGTAAACTGGGACATAAGATTAGCTTATCTTATGTCCCAGATGTAAACTTGCGGAATATTGTGACATTTTAACAACAGAAACTTTCGTCTGCAATTTTAACATGAGTTGTTATGGGTTAATTGATAGGAAACCGAATGTAAACACACTGCTAGGTCAGATGATGTTTTTGAAGTAATTCATTAAAATAGTAGATTGACTTCCCAATAAATCAATTAACAGACTTTGTTCATTTTATTACTATTTTGTATGTTCCAAAAAAAAAAAATACCACATGAATTTGAAGTTCGATCAAATAACCAATATGATCGATAATATCCAAAAATATCCCCTATGTTACGGGTTGTTTTATTTATTATGGGGTTATATTTTGGATATTATAGACCTGTATATTTTGGATATTATCGTTACTATTGATAGAATTTCAAGTTCATGCGGAAAAAACATTTGATATTCTAATCTCTAGCATGCCTGCCAAAGTTCATGATGAACAATGTCTTTTGTCTACCCATTTATAAATGATAGACAATTCTGGTTAAAACCAATTAACCGTTGAAAAGTATATAAGAATATCTGGTCATCAGATGTCTACTAGTTCATCTTCACTCGCTGCATTTCTTGCTTGGACGCCCTTTGATGAAAAATATGATGAAAAATAATTAGTGTAGTTTATACCTTTTTATTTAGAAAAAATAATTAGTGTAGTTTATACCTTTTTATTTAGAGGCGTGTTACCTATCAATTCAAATGACGTCATACCCATAATTCAATGTGAACATAGAAACAGGAAGTATTTACGTGAATTATATTCTCGGAAACCTATGAATAACTTGCATTTTCGGGAAGTTGATGAATTAAAAATTGTCTTAACATTTGTGGATCTAAAACAATTACAATTTTCCTCAGTATACAGTTAATAATATTACACAATCAACGCATAATTGGACCGATCTTGGAAGAAATTTCATTGACATTTGCCGGCTTCATTTTGTGTATTGGGTGTTTATAGTTGTTTGACATATATCAAGAATAACTTTAACCCGCCTCGGTTTCGGAAACAAAGACATTGTTTCTGCTTGGGTGAGCGTTACTTTTTCTAGAGTTTGATAAGACTTTGTAATTAAACATTTTGTTCAAAACGTTTTTTAAAAAAAATCGATATCGGAAAAAATATTTTGGAATTCTTGTGAGTCATCGCTAAATTCTCCCAACTTCCGCACGTGTAGGGCGCCGCCATATTGATTTTAGAATCGGCAGAATTTTATGTGCTCGTCTGTTATTTTTCAAAATTGCAGGTAATTTTCTCACTTTGGAACGTGCAGACACAACATCAAAGATCTTTAACATAATATTTAAAGTCACTTAGAACATTTTTGCAATAATTTCAACATTGACCCGTTATTTTTAATTTGACTATTTTCTTTTTGTCTTTTGGTACAGATGTCCAGTAGTATCGACCAAGAGCCTGCAGCTAAGAAGCAAAAACTCGACACTTCTGAGAGTTCAAACTTCAATTTAAAATCGGTTAGTATGCAAATCAAAATGATATGACCATTGCCTCCTTTATTTTATTTTGTTTCAGTATAACTGTATATAAAGAATTTTGCAGAAATTTAATTATTCAGAATGGCAGAAACAACCAATTTTCTAGTTCTGGCTTCCAAAAATTTATAAGCCGCTTTTTAACATTTTTGTTTTTCATCTGATGCGGCATTAAAGTTTTGGATTAGACCCGTTACGAAACCTAACCAGAATAACATAAGTTGATTTATTCTTGTTTTTCACTTGCAAATACACTTGACCAATCAATTCTTGTGAGTTTTACGATAAAACAATCATTTTAATATCATTCTATACCAATTAAAGTATCAAAATATTAATACCGTCATTAAAATTGCCTATTTAACTGTAAAATATCAATTTACGCCGACTACAGTTGGCCATGACATTCAGGTGCCACGCGAGATCTCGTATGACGTCATTCGCGGGAACAGATTTGAATAGAGTCGTGTACTATATTTAGAACATTTTGTTGACATGATTTCGATACTTTTTTTCAAGATAATGTTTTTATTTATTTTCATTAATTTTTTAGTACTTAAATACGATTGTATTGAATATAAAAGTCAGTAAATCACCTTTTTTCAATATCTTTAAAAAAAGTAATTTATAAAAATATTGGAGGCACATGGGTTCGTAAAGGTCAATCTCGTAATCTCGTAATCACGTGATCAAACATTTTGGCAATATGGCGGAAATTTTACCTGTCGGAAACTATTAGGTAGTTTATGTTCGTAATAAGATTTTTATTTGTCCATCCTTGGCTTATCAACAGAATATATATAGTTTTATCAAGGTATGCTTCACTTTACTTCATGGCATGTTCGATGAATAAATACGAGCGTGTCAGATTCCTGGCACTATTATTGGTGGACTTTCCCTATGGGGTTATCTTCAGCGTTCACGTCATGTCATAGTATATAAACGGGTACGCTGAAGACCTTAAGCTACCAATTCTCAATCACAATCCAAATTCAAATATGTGTTGCTGATGCCATGTCTGGCTAAATTACATAAAGTCACTTGTTGTATTAACTTCAACACTTGCAGGAATACCATACTTTATTAATTGTCAGATGTTATCAGAAAAGCTTAAACAAACATTTATTTATTATTAATTGGGAATGTAAGAGATATAGGACCATTCCCAAATGGCATCTATACTGTATCCATTTTTCTATAGATCTGAATAAGATCAATAGTGAGTATGGTTTGCAGGTGATAAACCAAGATTTTGTGGATTTGAGTCTACATATCAGAATGATGGACATGGGGTTCAGAAAAATGCTATAATGAAACTTAAAATCTTAACCTCTCATTGTTTTATTGATTGTTTAAAAAGTGCAGGTAATGTGCAAGTTTTGTCTCATTAAATGTAATGTTATTTACTAACTTTTGTTATTCTACAATTTTCATATTTATAATTTACAGATTAAAAAATCTAAAATTAATGAATGGTCCATAATTTTCAGGCTGTCAGTTTTATGATAAAATTATAGACTTGAAGTTAAAGTGATAGTTGGTATGACATTAAATAGTTATTGTCAATGTATATAAAACTGCGATATTTCATAGATTTTGTTTACGCTTCTCACCTGCCCTGAAATGACATAGTCTTTCTTGCTAGATGTATCTACTCTGCATTGTGTATCAAACAGCCACAAATCACATGAAATATGTAGTTTATTTTCCAACAGATATCCAAAACACAAATATTTTTCAAAAGGTATCTAAAACACATATATTTACCTAACTCAAACTGTCCTTGTTATTAATTCCTTGAAATTTTCTTAGAAAAGTTTGTTATAAAACAATTTCCACTTAATGGGATTCCATCAAGATATGAAGGTCAAACTGCCATGCTGTTGTTTTTTTTGGAACAATCACTGACATGGCATCTGGGACGTTAAGAAACGGTTAAGTATTTCTCAGAATTAGAGTTGGTCTCCTTTTTTGGGCTGTTGTTGGGTATTTTTTTTTTTTTGAAAATGGGGAAAGTAGACTATTTTGGATTGAGAATGGGGCCTTAAATTGTTGATATACCTGGTGATAGGATGAAAAAGCCCTGAAGCACAAAGAATAGACTTGAATTGATGTAACTTCCTATTAATCCTAACATTGATGATTACAGTAGTCTAAGTAGAGATTATAGAAAAGACTTCTGATTTTATACCTTATCTATATAATTATGTAAAGTGGGAAATGAACCAGAACAAAAAGAATTAAAACAGTTAACTGTAAGCAAATGATCATCAATACTGTCAAGATTAGAGTAAATCAGTTAGACAATTCAGTGTTAACAGTTAACTATAACATTGCTCAACATTGATTGATAACAATTTGAACTTGGGAGGTTTTCTTTCTTAATAAGGAAGAGGTCTTAGCCCTTGTTTTTAGTAAGAATTGTTGTAAAAGGCTCTAATTTAAATTCAGAGGGGTCAAGTCATTTCCCCTGTCTTTGCATATAGTTGTCATTTAATAGAAATAATATATGTTGGAGTTTACAGACTATCATATTGAGAAATCTCCATCCCAGCTTATGAAGAGAAATTTCTGGTCACATTTTAGGTATTTCAGCGACTGTCAACCCTTCAATAAATTGGTTCTTTATGTTGTTTTCATTTTTTGTTTTGTCTGTCAGTTGATCCACCTCTTTGCAAACTAATGCTGTCGTTGATGGAAAATTTAGTAATTGATATATCGAGAGACAAATATCAACAATATATCGACTTTGACAGTAGATGAAAAACATTTAAGTGTGTGTGTTATCAGGGCTTTTTTTCACAGGTTGGGGAAGCAGCCCAGCCCTTAATTTTGGGGAAAAATTACACTGTATATTTGCAAAAGGGGAAGAAAAAACTTGATGTAAATTCAATTTTTGGGGAAAACTGCATTATTTTAAAGAAATTTTCTTTGGGGAAGCAGCCCTAAACCGGCCCCTGTTATAGAAGGTAAAAAGGCCCTGGTTATAAATTGGGATCATGGTGTTATGCATGCTTGTATTAGACATTACAAATTATACTACAAATTAACTGAAGTGAAGTTTGTTTTTTTTCTGTTATTTTTGTTAGTGACATTTGTAAACATAGTTTAAAGTTCAAGTTAGGTGAGAAAACTGTAAAAAAGTGACTTTTTTATAGGAAAAATAGAGAGATATATTCAGTATATGAAATAAATGAATTTTAGCTGGTATTGATATTTGAAAGTGTGATCGGATGATGAATATTGATATATCTATATGCGATATTCAATGATGGCCCTATTGCAAACAACTTAAAAATTGGCCTCAACATTTTCAAATTCATGCTGTACATGCTGTAGGGTCTTCATATATGGACTCGAAGCCACAGTCTCACTGACATCCCGGCAGAGCCCAGGTAGACGTCCGGGGTGATCCGGGTACGACCGGGAACAACTGAGGTACATGTACATCCATAACTCTGCCGGCAACGTCCAGGATGATCCGGGAATATCCGGCATTCGACCCCGGGTGGAATTAAATATTTAATGTCACCGGGGTGGTCCGGGATGTTTTGCCGGCTTCATCCTTAGCTCTGCCGGGAACGACCGGGGTTACACCGTAGCTCTGCCGGCACAAACCGGGGATGATCCTGGTAAAGCTAAGGTAGAGTCCCGGTGAATGCTGGTAGAGCCCCGGTGAATGCCGGCAGAGCCAGGTTCATTTCAAAGAATCATGACAATTTGCGATGATTGCACTTGTTTGTATTAAAACCCTTCCCTTTTCCCTTCTTTCCAGTCTTGCATAAGGATTTTTCAGAAAATCATCATGAATTACTGTTCTGGAACAATAGATATTATATTAAATGAAAATTACGGTAAATGTAATCATTTTCGCGCGTTTTCAATATCCACCGGGGCTCTGTCTGGGCTCTGCCTGGGTCCACCGTGGCTCTTCCGGCTTCATCCAGGGAAGTACCAGCATGAACCGTAGCTTCACCTGGGCTCTGCCTAGATGGTCCAGAGCCCATCCTGGGTGGTTAGTTGGGAATAACCGTAGTGCTGCCAGGGTTAGTGTGACCGCAACAATAATTTCAGGCCACATTTAAAAAAGTCTTTGTTTGCTGTCTCCCGACCCTACTTTTTAGAGTTGGGTAGGTAGGTAGGGATTTTTTTTTTTTTTTTTTTTTTTTTTTGGAAATACATACATGTTTTTGGTTTGATTCTGTTTGTTGGAAAAAACGGTTTAATAAAAATGCGAATAAAATTTTTTAAAATTGATATATCTTCAATTTCAGTTTGTATATCTTTCAATAAGTCAATACAAGAAGTATAGTTCTTTTTAATAAAAATACCATGTAAACAAAGGCAAAATTTCAAACATTCACCCAACATGTGAGAGGATGACTTAAACACACAAATATACTCAAATATATAATGCAAAATAAATACTGAACAACAAAAGGCATCATTATAGATCAACAGTTTAAAGTCTGCTTACATTTTTTTTTCATTGAAATGAATAGTTAGTGACACAACCAGAAAAACAATTTCAAACACTAAGCAACTTCAGACAAGTAAACAGTTAAGCCACAGTATACCAACAAAATTTAGTTCACAGTATTCATTTTTTATAGGACATCTATGGGGAAATCTTTCTTGTGGACATTGATGCATTGCTCATAAACTGGAAGTACAATCCTAAAAAGGCTAAACTTTGTTAACAGTTCTGGATTTCTCTGTTGCTTCTGGCTCATCACAATGGGCACATATATCTGGTCGTCCAATGTTGGAGGCACAGTAAGGGAACTCCACGTGAGATTGGCATGACATCTGCAGTCATACCCAAAACACTCTCCCTTGTAGAGCATCTCCTATGAAAACAGACAGAAGGCTAGACTTTATGCAAATACAGATTTTGCCAAAAATGCCAATTATTTTAACTTTTTTTAATTATACAAACAGGGAAATATGTAAGAAAGAATAAAATCAGGTTTCTACTTTCAGTTGATTATGTAAAAACATTTTGACATCAACTATTTTAAGAAAATAAGCACAACAATGTGGCAATACTAATACTAACCATCAACTGTAATGACTGAATCACAGTTGTAATCAAATTTCTCAGGTTGTGTTTTAGAGATCATGTTTCCCTGTCAATTTATTCTTGGAGTAAATACACCTTGGTTTATCCGCATTCAGTGCCTTGCATTTTAACCCCACTAGAAGACATTTCTTAAAGCCCTGCAATAATGAGAAAATGTGATAAAAGAGTGCTGAAATGGTCAAAATACTAAGACAGGTGGTACTGAAAACAATAAGATAAGTGCATTTGCTGGTTAAGAAAATGATTATTTAATTAAATACCTGGTAAAAATGAGTGAGATACATACAAGAAACTTTATTTATTTACAAAAACTTTATTTTAAGTCGATTACATGAGCACTCAGTAAAGTTTTTAACACAAACCAGTATTTAAGCAATAACCGTAAGACACGTCCGATTTTTTTTCGGGTTAAAAATCCTCGACGTCATTCAACAGATCGACCCATGCCCAGACAAATTCATTCTCGTGGAGGTTATTTTTCAACAAAAGTTTGAATAAAATAATAATGTTGACGAGATGATAAAATACTCGTCTTTCTTGAAGATCTTCTAACTTTCGTTTTGCAAAATGGTAACGGATGTGTACACAATCGACTTTTTTAACCCGGCGGTACTTGATAGTCGATACACGTACGAATAATACGCGGGAACCAGAATACTACACGCCGTTATTGAACGGATTCGGTAAAAATATGCGGCACCAAAAAAAAAAAAATGGTCGGCCCCCGAGAGCAAATAAAATTTTTCGGAGCGCAGCGTTTTTTAGGGTCGGTCGGGAGACAGCAAACAAAGCTATTTTTAATTTAGGCCTCACCCCGGATCATCCCGGTAACTTACCGGGGTGGTCCTGGGCTCTGCCGGAAGTAAGTGAGACTGCAGCTTTATTATCTCATTTTGACATTATTAAATATGACCTTGTTAATTGTGTTTGATATGCAAACTCCTACACAGTGGTCACTTTTTGTTCAGCTACACAGACCACTGTTACTGTTAGGAAGGATGCTTGCAATCTATAAATGCAAAATTTTGTCTGAAACTGTATTTAGTTTATGAATAAGTTTGGTTTCATTTATTTTCTTTCCAAAAAAGCCTGCTTAACATAATTTTTTTTTTTTTTTTGGTTTTTCAACTAAAACAGTTTTAATTGGTGTAGTTTGTTGCCTTCATTTTGAAGTCATGTGTTATTATCTATCATAGATAATAACACATGACTTCAAAATGAAGGCAACAAACTACTGTGACTATGGTCACATGAAGTTTGTGAAGTTAAACCAATCAAATCACTTTGAGGTGTTTGTTTGAAATGATAATATGAATCATGTTTGTAATCATTCTAGTTTAATCTTTTTTTTTAGGTAGGAAACCCAATATGCAAAACCCACTAAAATGAAGTAATCTCTATTTTTAAACTCTTAATCCTTATGCATTAGTCATTGCTAAATTGATACAATATTTATGGGTTTGTAAAAGTATAAATTATTTAGAAATTGCATTTCTCAAGCATAGTGTTAAACATTTCTTACCTTGTTAGTTTTGTTTTATTGATAAGAAATTAAATGACATTTATCTTACTGTAGAATTTTTATATGTGTTGTATTGAGCGGATTAATAAAGGATATAAGAATAAGAAGAAATAGATTGCTTTAGAATTTTTACTCTTTACCATAATTGACCTAAAGTAGATAAGGATAGAAAAATAGTGGAATAATTGTTTTCAGGTAACATTTATAAAATACTCCTTAAGTTTAATCACATTCATAACAATTCTATACATGTAATTATTAAGGGAGCTCCACTGAGGTTTAAATTACTAGACATAGAATTTGGAAATCTTGCAAAGAGCAACTTGGCATTTAAAATGAAAATATATTAAGATAATAAAGAATTTTTTTCAGAATTAAATTGAAAATACAAAATCAATATTAGCACATAATAATATCTCTATATCATAACTGTTTAAATTGTTTAGTCTTGTAATTGTATTATCAGGGTTTCTTTTCCCCAAAGGCAGGGGAAGAGGCCCTTCCCTTAAATTTTGGTGGGAAATATTGGTAGTATTTTTGCAAAAGATATAGTGAAAACTTGATGTGAATTGATTTGTGTGTGTGTGTGGGGGGGGGGGGGGGGGGGGGGGGTGGGGGGGGGGGGGGGGGGGGGGGGGGGGGGGGGGGGTTGGGGGGGACGGGGGGGGGGGGGGGGGGGGGGGGGGGTTGTTAACAGCCTTTAAAACAACCCCTGCTGTAGGCTAGCTGATAAATGCCCTTAATATTTTTGAACAGTTTTATACCTTTAGATATAGGCCAAGGGTATACTGTATTCTAGTTAGTATTTCAATCTTTGCCTTTTGAAATTTTTTTTTTTCCCAACTGCCAAAGGATTTCGAAGAAAAAATTGTTTTTTGCTTTTTTTTTCCTTGATGTAAAAGAAAAACCCACCAAAAACAGTTTGGGAAAGACATTTTAAAAAAAAACGGGTTTTTTTAATGAATAAGATTAAAACCCTGAAATTTAGGTAAAAGTGACATTTTTTCATTTTTCTATAAGTTTTTTACTGGTTAAAAGAGTACATGGAGTTTCTTTAAGTTTTTTACAAAAATTTTTAAGCTTAAAAAAAGAAGAAATTTAAAATATTTATTTAATTATTTGTGTCGCAGAAGGGGGGAAAAGTAAGTTGTAATTTTTTTTAGGACGCCTGGTAAAGGCCACTGACTTCATAAACCAGAGAACATTTAGTGGTTAGTAAGAAAGATAGGAATTTTGTTTATTTACTGATACCTTTGTCACACAGTTTCACTCCTTATGATATAAATGAAATTTCGTCTATGAATACTAATTAATAAATTGTGACAACATGATGAAATACTGTGTAGCTAAGAGTGATCTAGATAGTTTCTTGTTGCTAGAATATATACTAATCTTAGTTTGAACAAATCTGTTTTTGGATGCTACTAATTTTTCATGACTAGGCCATCATTTTTGTGCTGTTATGCTAGAAGTTATATGAAATATTGGTCTAATTTACTAATTAGCCTAAGGGGAAATGGTTCATTGCTTGTAATTGGGGAATATACATGTACATGTATCTATATATCATTTATAGCGATGTATCCACAAATTTGCCTAAGAAGTAAGAAGTGAGTTTTGTGACAGTCTGATGTTTATTATTTAATTCTGTTGTCATCACAAGATAGACTTGACCAAGCTTTAGTCAGTTATATTTTAGGGTGGGGAGATAAAAAAAAGAAGACTTGCACAGACATTTGATGCTGCTATTGTAATAAATTATCAGAAAGGCCAACATCAGCATTGTCAGAGCAACCACTTCTCTCTAGATAGGAGATCCCTTGAAAGCAATTAAAACAAATTGGGGTCAAAACATGAAAGATGAAAATAATAGATTCTGTGTGATTGAGGGTCTGTGTGTGTTAGATAATTAAAAATGCATGGAGAAATAAACATGTATTAAAAGGGGGCTTTGATAATTGCCAGTAGCATTGCCTTGTGCTGCTCTACAGAACTTTCCCAGTCATACCCATGGCGTATAAAAATGCCCTGGCCTCCTTCTGGGTTACTTGATACACAGATGTATATATATAAAAGAAAAAAAAGCTTTTATAAATTTTCTTTTGAATATAAAAATTTCCAGAGCTTAGTTATTTGGCATGTTACATTTATTGTTTAGTGGTCAACTATCGTTTTCTACAAACGTAACATAATAAATGGTCCCAGCTTCTGTTGAGAGTCATCTGGTCTTTTGGAACATTTTTATCAACACTTCCATTTACCAGTCTCCATTTGACTTTGTTTCATATAGATTTTCATTTATATGGTACACATGTACTTAAAATGACTGAAAGCCTGAAAGTTTTGCAGTAAAAAACCTTTAAAATCCATATAGTCTCAAGTCATTCTTAACAAAAAGAAAATTAGGTTCCTTTGGGCTAATTTTCTGTAGAATGAGATATGCAGGGAACTTATGCATGAATACCTAAGCTACCTGAGTGGTTCATTTTAATTAATTTCTCTTTATTATTAGTATTTGACACTCTATGTATTTGCTTCTTGTTGCATTTTTATATATCTCCCAGTGTACTATATATATAGCATATCCCTATGTAAATATAAGGTTAGTATTGTATACTTGATTGCAAGATATATAAAATTTTATAATATCATTACAGAAGGAGATGGCAAAGAATTCCCAGAATGGTGTAGAGGGAGAGATAGATGAAGGGCTGTACTCAAGGCAGTTGTAAGTTATCTAGTATACCTCTTTAACTTCCAGTAATCTCTCTGTATTACATCATAACTAATCTCTCTATTATATTATAACTAATCTCTCTATTATATTTTAACTTAAGGAAATTAGTGTTTAAGGAAATGTGTCTAAAGTAATTTTACTGCCTCATTTATACAGCTACATTTAAATTTTTGCTTTTGAAAGGTTATAGCACAATGCATAGATCCAGGACCTATCTAATTCTAATTATCAGATTAGTGGATACAATGAGAATTTCATCACAACATATTTGTTAACAAAAGAGCACATGTCAATGTTTGTCGTTTAATCTATTGTTATTCAAACATAGGTCAGAATAAAGATCTATCAATTACTATTGGTGAAGTAAATTTGGGGAACATAAAGAACATTACATTGAGGGGGAAGAGTTAAGAGTAGGGCATCTGAATCCTAGGATGCTTCAGATCAATTTTCTTTGTCTTCCTCAAGAGTCTAGCCACATATCTATGTAAACTGGTGTAATTACTTAAGATAACTGAAAATCAGTAATAAATTATGATGTTCAATTGTCGTGTCAAACAAAGACAATAAAAATGAATTGTTTAATCATTGAATATTACAGGTATGTTTTGGGTCATGCTGCCATGAGACGTATGCAGTCCTCTAATGTTTTGATATGTGGTATGAAAGGTTTGGGTGTTGAAATTGCCAAAAATGTTGTGTTGGCTGGTGTAAAGTCAGTTACAATTCATGATTCTTGTAAAGCTACATGGACAGATCTCTCTGCACAGGTATTTTGATAAATATAATGAATTTCACTAGTGTTAGTATATGAATCTATTCAATACAGTTTCAGTTCCTCTAGTTGATACTTGCTTAGGAATATTTTTTGAAATTGAGAAATGCAGAGGTTATTTTGGATTAGTAATGGGGCCTTGTATCAGGCCCTGGTGATAGTGTGTAAATGCCATGAAATATATGGAAAGGCATGTAAGGTCTTCAGTAAACATTATAAGTCACGGCATGGCCTTAATATTGAAATGCCAGTTTATCTTGTCTGATGTTAATATATTAATTAATGTTAAATATACGGAAAGGCAACCAAGGTCTTGAGTAAACATTATGTCACTGCATGGCCTTATTAGAGAAATGACTAAGCCAGTTTATCTAGTCTGATGTTAATTTTTTTCCTGTCATTATCAACTTTATGGTGTGCTTGATATGGGCCTATGATAACCTGTATTTGTGAAAAATAAACATACAAGTTTATGGTATAAAACAGCTATTTGACAGTGCTTGTCATTGGGAGTAAATGTTTCATTCTAAAGAAAGGACAAACATCAATTTTATAATGTTAAATTAATGGTTTTAGAGCATATAAGATGCTTATCACCTGATGAATGTAGCGCAGAATATGAAAATGTTTGTCATAAAAGTACCAAAATGTAAACAAAGAAGTATTTTGACTTCCATACAAAATACTAAATCCCTATAACTGTACTAATTGCCACAAAAAACAACAGAAGCAAAAAAAATGGTTCACGTAATTGATGTATGAGTTACTTTTTCAAAACTATAAAAATGCACAAAAAATGAATATATTACGAAAAATAATAAGAGTATTTTCATGGGAATAATGGGCCTTTAATCTTGAAAATAATCTGTTTCAGTTTTTCTTACGTGAGGAAGATATAGGAAAGAACCGAGCTGATGTAACACTGCCTAGATTAGCAGAACTGAACAGTTATGTTCCTTGTAACTGTTATACTGGACAACTTACAGACTCATACTTGAAAGATTTTCAGGTTTGTCGACATTTTATAGTCCGTTGATATTGGCAGTTTTAGTTTGAGGTCAGGGGTGTCCATGGCCGATTGTGGTTAAGGGCATTGAATTCAAACCAGTTGCCTTCACTGCTGTGGGTTTGATTCTCGACAGGGACTTTGGATTCTTTCATGTGTGGATGCTATCCAGCTAGCTTATGGAATGTTGTTGGTTCTACTCAGGTGCCCGTTCGTGCCTGAAATAATGCACAGAAGGGCAATTGAGGTCTTACTCCACCAGTAAAGCTGGAAAGTCACAATATGACCTGTATAAATTTTTATCATATATTCTTTAAAATCTTAAAGCTTGTTCAGCAAAAGATTAAATTATGTGAAGATATTAAAGAACTATGTAACACTCATTTTGAAACTCAGTATTAAAGAGATTTCAAAAACATTTTTAGAACATATAGTAATAATAGGCTGAAGAAAATAATTACGCACAAAATAATTTTGCATACTTTCATGGTTACAAGTTTTCAAGTATTTGGCTGGAGTTCATGTTTTTATACTTTTATACAGAAACTATTCCTTTTCTATACATAGTAATTAGTTACTTAAAATAATGTTTAATTCAGGTTTTTTTCCCTGACATTTTGACATTGCACTTGTGTACATTTGTTGTAAAAGTTTTTTGTAAACACAGGTGGTGGTATTGACTGACTCCAGTTTGGAAGAGCAGGTCAGAGTGGGAGAATTCTGTCATGCTAATGATATAAAGTTTATTGTGGCTGAAACACGTGGACTTTTTGGGTATGTCATGCTGTACTTATTCTCTTACATCATTTATTAGTCCCCTACCGATTTACCGGAGGGGACTTTAGGTTTACCCTCCGTCCGTCTGTCAGTCCGCACTCACAGGACGGTAATTATATGGCTAGAGGGACAATAGGTAACTGTTCTTTCTCTTTGATGTCATTCATTCCGTAATGCTTTTATGTGGCTATTTTCTTTTGTTTGGCTAAAAAGAACGATAGAGAGAACAAGAGAGTAGCCACATTATTACTCTCCTGTTAGAACGTCCGTCAGTCCATCCATCCAGAAAACTGGATCCCGCGATAACGCAAAAAGTACTGAAAATATTTTTATGAAACTTGATATATGAATAGATGGTAGTATGGAGATTATGCAAGTCCTTTTCTTTTCTTCCTACGTTGAAAATTCTGGTTGCTATGGCAACAAATAGACTGAAAATATAGCAAATTTTACACATAAACTGGATCCAGTGATAAGGCAAGAAGTACTGGAAATATTTTTATGAAACTTGAAATATGGGTAGATGGCAGTCTGGAAATTATGCACATCTTTCTCTTTTCTTCCTATGTTGAAAATTTTTGTTGTTATGACAACGAATAGTCTGAAAATATGGCAAATTTAACACATAAACTGGATCTAGTGATAATGCAAAAAGTAGAAACTTGAAATATTGGTAGATGGCAGTATGGAGATTATGCATGTCTTTTTCTTTTTTTCCTATTTTGAAAAAAAATTGGTTGCCATGGCAACAATAGGCTTAAAACATGGCAAATATAACAATATTTGTGATTAGTCAAAAAAAGCTGAATATTTTTATGAAACTTAAAATATGGATAGATGGTAGTATGAAAGTTATACACAGCATTTTAATCTTGACTATAGGGAGTATATTGAGAGCTGTCATACTTAACAAATGTTGGCAGCCTCGTCAAGATTTCTGATTCTAGTTTTTAGGCTTTTTCACTAAGTTCTTTATTTCATAAGGTATTTATTTCAAACTTCAAACATAAGTTTCTGGTCATCAACCACATCATATGTGACAATGTTTTAACTCTAGCACAAAAATTATCAGATTTGCCTCCCTTGAATCCCTTTGCATTCAAATTCAAAATAAACATTCATTATGAACAGCTTAATTACTAATTGTTCTTTGTTACACTCACATCATGTATGACATCTTGGATCTTTATTTCAAGAGTTATCTCCTCTTTAAGAATTTTGTTTTTAAAAATGTTATGTTTTTGTAACAGGGGTGTTTAAAAAATCAACTTTAGAGTGTCCTTCAGTCTGTCTGTTCATAAAATCTGTTTCCTGTGATCACTTTTAAAGAACTTTTCCAACAAATTTTCTTATAAAAAAGAAAAATTGAAATATTAGTGAATGGCCAATGGCCCTTCAGGATGTTGCTGGGGTTCTAACTGGTAGGGGACTTATGGATTACTTGCAATACTATTATAATTGCTTGTTTATTAATAAATTGATAAATGAAACATATTGCTTACCTATAATGCACCTGTGCTGTCTTGGGCACCTTCATAGCTGTACAAACTTTGAACCTATGACTTGTCAAAATTTCTGAAAGTGACAATTTTCATTCATTTAAGGAAGTTATGCATATTCTGGTTCTATACTAGAGCTAGTTCATATCTGTAATATTTAGATGGTCATTTAGAAGATGATGGTCTGAGAATTAGGACATAGATAACCCAAGTGTTTGTGCAACTTGATCTTGATACATATTGTTAAATGGTTACTTAGAATTTGTGAATACATTGTGAGCATTAGAAGTATTGTTATGTTGTTAAACCACTCTATCATAAGTTATTTCCTTGTTTCAGTATGATATTCTGTGATTTTGGAGAAGAGTTTGTTGTGTCAGATATGGATGGAGAACAACCAATCAGCAACATGATAGCAGATATAGTAAGTCTCTAAATGGCTGTATTATATCAGTGATTTCATCTGACTCAGACTAGTGTAAGATAGGCAGTTGACTAGTCAGTGTAAGCTAGGCAGTGTTGGTTCATCATATATATTTTATCACACACAAGTGAACATTTGCTTTACTGGTATATTGTATATGTTACACATAAGTTCAAGATAAGATTATGGGTCAATTAGTTCTACTGCAAGTTTTTTTTCAGTTAATGAGTTTTTCACTAATGTATTTTGATAACAATCCAGTGTTTGTTAGTTTTTTTAAATGCAGATCGTTTTGTCCACATCAATATTCATTCATTTAGTTTAACTATATGTTTTACGATATAGATTTTATCCTTACTACTACACTGATGATACAAGAAATAGTCGAAATGTATGTTTTAGTCATTGTAAAAGACCACTGATACCATAAATTGTGTGTTCCTTGAAGTCTAATGAAAACTTATTTTTCCGTTGGAACCGTTACCTGGTTCAACAAGATCACTTGTTTAGCAATATCAGATTTGGTACGTAATCTTCACACTTGCAATCTAAGTAGACGGTGTAGTTGCAAAAATGGGGAGTAAATGCAAGAGCAAGTGTTAACATTAGTGCAACATGTGTTGTTATTCCGCATTCCTTTGTTATTGCTGCAAAAATCATATCAATGGTGTCGGTAATTTTTGCCTCATTAAACCAAAAAAAAACAAGTAATGAAAAATATTTAATCTTAATTGATTTTCATTATTTTTAATTTGTTTTTAGTCTAACAGATTTTAAATTTTGACTTGTTTATTTGTAAAGTAATTTGGTAAAAATGATAATACAATGCTTGTCCAGGCCTAGACATTAACTTTTGAATCAGGTTGTCCTGTCGGGCAAGTAGTTTTTAAAACTACTTGCCCGTGACCTAAGACTTACTTGTCCTGACCTAAAAATGGTAAAAATGTATAAATCAGAAAAACAAACAAGCTCATAAATATTTTTTGTATTTAGTAGTTTTTCTAAAACATCGGTTCATCTGTTTATTCAATGTGAATATACTACGGTCATGTACATTTGTTGATATAGGAAACGGAAGGAAAAATATGAGCATGCGCCGCGGTAAGGAAATTCCCCGTTCAATCATCAAGTCAACAGCCGTAAACGAGCGCATGCTCATATTTTTGCTTCCGTTTCCTATATCAACAAATGTACATGACCGTAGTATATTCACATTATTGATAATAATTCATGGTGTATTTTTGTTTTAAAGATGTTTATAAATGAAAAGATGTTATTTCTATTCATTTTGTACATGCATTTTGTCAATGATGCTTTTTATTTTCACTTGCCCTGTCGGACAAGTGCTTTTCAAAATAACTTGCCCGGACCAAACTTTTAGTTGTCCCGGGCAGTCGGACAACCGTTAATGTCGAGCCCTGTTGTCTAGAATACTGAGTGCACTTTGGATTAACAGACATTATTGTGATTGCTAGGATGAAGATGGTGTAGTAACATGCCTGGATGAAACAAGACATGGATATGAAGATGGAGATTATGTGCAATTTAAAGAAGTACAAGGAATGACTGAGCTTAATGGTCATGAACCTATGAAAATCAAATGGCTAGGTAAGGTATAGGGTTTTAATTTAGATGGACGTAGCTTGACTGGGCTTCTAGCATTATTATGAACATTTTAACTAACAGTTATTTCTGTCAAAGTAGATAACATTTATACATAGAGCTGTCATCAATACAAACAATACCGGTTCATCGTCAATATTATTTTGTCATTCAATAAACTATACACATTTGAAAAAAGTTGATAATTTTGATTCATTAATTATATGTCTAGAAATGATGACAGTTCACCCAAAACATATACAAAAAACAGGTGTCAATGTATAAAACTATGCTATTCTTAAGTAATGGACATTTCATAGCAGTGATGAGAAAAAAAATTATGCCATTTGCATTTATAAGCATTTATAAACAAGACCAGTGTTTTTTTTCACTTTTGGGGGAAGGGGGTCGGTGCCGTTTGGAGGGGGGAAAATGCAATAGGAGGGGGAATTTTATTTCTTCACAAATGAGGAGAAACAAAAACGAATCCAATGAATATTTTAATACACCACTTAACACTGTAAGATCATTGTGTACACCGATATTTAAGAGACCGGTGTGTATACAATGACTGTAAGATTTACTTTTGTTTGACATTGTTTTCTTTCCGGTGAGTAGAATAGGGGAGCAACTCTTGCAACACAAGTTTAAAATACGTCGCTTTTTCTTAATATACGGATCTAAAATATTGACAGCAGAATTTAAAGTGTCGCATGTTAAACTTGTTGGGAAGCTGTGAGTAGCTCCCCTTACATACCCGGGAAGAATTTGTAAACAACTTTGCTTAACAGTAAGTCTTACAGGCTTAAAATAAAACATTATTCGGCAGTTATATGCAAAAAAATGGTATTCATTGCAGGCAAATTTTGGCTGCCATATGGGGGGAAAATTTGGCTTTGAGAGGGGAAAAAAACATACTATTTTGAGGGGGGAATGGGGCCGAATTTCGCCGAATATTTTGGTGAAAAAAAACACTGAAGACGCATCATAATTGTATGAACAGAATAATTATGTTTTTACTGATATCATTTTAATAGGTATGAAAGTAAATTATAGACAAGTCATTATCAACATATCTCAATATCGTTGATATTTGTCATTCAATATAATTATATTGTCCATATGTTTCACACTAAATCAATGACAGCTCTATTTATAAATACATGTTGTTATCTCTGTGAAATGTTTTAAGTATTATAAATGACTATAGTAATGCACATGATGTTGAGAACACTTAATCATATATTGTTGAAAATGTAATTATATCAAACTTGTTTTCATTAAAATGATATACAGAACAAGATAGCAGCTTGAGATAATCATAATATTGACTTGTGAAAGTAATCAATTTTCAGTCATATTTTTGACATTTGATAAAATATTACTGAAAGGAAAATTCAACTTAATATGCAATTTAAGAAAAATTGTAATTGCCCGTTTTGGAGAGTCTCTGTGGTTGAGTGGTTAAAGTCACTGTGACTAAAGATCACTTGCCTCTAACTGCTATGGGTTTGAATTCCACCAGGGCTTTTGAATTTTTTGATGTAAGGAAGTCTGTCCAACTAGATAATGAAAGGTCTATTGTTATACTTTGGTGTTCACTCATGACTGTATTAATGAAGTAATGCATAAAGATATTCATTCAACAGTAAAGATGGAAAGTCACTGTATGACCCTGACAGTGTGTTACCTTAAACCTTACCAAACAAATACCTTAAACCGTACCAAACAAATGACCTTAAACCTTACCAAACAAATGACCTTAAACCTTACCAAACAAATGACCTTAAACCTTACCAAACAAATGACCTTAAACCTTACCAAACAAATGACCTTAAACCTTACCAAACAAATATCTTAATTGATAAATTGTATGCTTGAAAAAAATAATAACAATGATAAGAAAAAGTGTAATATGTTTGATGGCAGATCACACAATTTTGTATGACTAACATTCTATGTTTTATTTTAGGACCATACACATTCAGTATTGGAGACACAAAAAAATTCTCACCGTACCAAAAGGGAGGCATAGTTACCAAAGTAAAAATGCCAACAACCATCAAGTTTGTAAGTCATTTATTCAATTTGTTAAAGTACATAGATACTTCTTGATAAAAGATTATTTTATTTTTACTGTTTAAGCATTTGTGCTATGTAAGCAATTTGTTAGATATTTAATAAAGTAACAATGAATTTAACATTATTTTAGTAACATGGCAGGGGTACTGATCTGACTAGATGATATATGATGCTTTTAGGGACCAGACCCGAGGTTATAAAGAAATTCTCCAAGCTCAATCTCAAATCTCAGTTATTTGATTGGTCAGAAACTGTCACAGAATGTTTACTGACTAATGAAAATCTTGAGATTTGAGACATAACTCAAAAAGAAGTTTAATGACCTTGAGGAGAAAATATTGTTAAGTAATTGAAGAATAACTGTGAGCGCCACACCTGAACTTGAGTGAAACATTTAGACTATTAAAACAGGTATATGATAGGTTCTAAAACAAAACTGTTTGGAGATGTATATTGTTATAATGTTTTAAATTTGGAAAACAAATTTTTTTTTGCAGAAATCCATAAAGGAGGCAGTGAATGCACCAGAGTTTGTCATGACAGATTTTGCCAAGTTTGACCGTCCAGGTCAGCTCCATATAGCTTTCCAGACCATACATGAATATATCAAACAGAAAGCTGATTTACCTAGAAGTAGAAGTAAGGTAAGGCACCACTAGATTTTGTTCTTTATGAAATATTGAAAATGGTTTGTAACAAAACTGTTATACTGGTATATTGATTAAAATAAAATTTCATTTCAAGTTGTATATACATCCTTTGAGTCTAGACCCTTGAAGGTTGAGTAACCCTTTATTGGTGAATAAACAGTTCTAGGTTTTAAGATTCTTTACAAACCAGTAGAAATTCTAAGAACTATGCACAAAATAGAAGTTAGTATATATGTTGCTTTCATTCTTTTCTGAGAGAAAGGCACAGTACTATCATATGTTTCTGCCCTGTTATAAAGGAGGTAATTTTAAAATGAAATGTACCTGTCTGAATTTGCCTATCACAATGAGTGCATAATACTTTTATCTGAAAGTAAAATAAATTCTTGTTTAATTATTAATTAGATTACTACTACTAAGTTACAAGATAAAAGGCAAAATATAAATAGATTTATGTGTTTGTACATTATAGGAAGATGCTGGAGAATTCATGAAAATATTCAATGAGATCAATAGTAAATCAGGAGCTAAATGTGATGATATTGATGAAAGTCTTATAAACGAGTTCTCATTCGGTGCACGAGGTGACCTGTGTCCATTAGCTGCTGTTATAGGGGGTATAACTGCCCAGGAAGTGATGAAGGTAAGTAACTCTAGATGAAAATCAAATGTTTTAGTTTAAACATATTTATTTTCAATTGTGAAACAAGTACTTGCAACTTGAATTAGTCACTTTCAAGTCCGCTTCCTGGAACCAACCAGTACTGGTGTCATATGAAGAAACATGGTTGTGACCTGAGCAGGGCTCGAATCCATGATCCCTGGGTTGAGAGGCCGACACCTTAACCACTTGGCCACCACTCCCCTAATGTTTTATTAGTTGTGTATAATGATAATTCAAGTTAAATTAATGTAAGGCTCAGTGCAGAACACAAACATAAGAAAATAGTTGATAATGTTTTTATAATTCTGTAGGATTTTTAGCTCACCTGTCACAAAGTGACAGGGTGAGCTTTTGTGATCGCTTTTCGTCCGGCGTCCGTCCGTCTGTCCGTCCGTCGTCCGTCCGTAATCTTTTACTTTAAATGACATCTCCTCATAAACCACTAAGCCAATTTCATCCAAACTTCACAGGAATGTTCCTTTGGTGGTCACCTTTAAAAATTGTTCAAAGAATTTAATTCCATGCAGAACTCTGGTTGCCATGGCAACCGAAAGAAAAAACTTTAAATATCTTCTTTTAAAAAACCATAAGAGCTAGAGCTTAGATATTTGGCATGAAACATCTTCTAGTGAGTGTCTACCAAGTTTGTTCAAATAAAAGCCCTGGGGTCAAAATTGGCCCCGCCCCAGGGGGTCATTGATTTTCCCTATATGCATATAGTAAAAACTAAAAAAATCTTCTTTTAAAGAACCCAAAGAGCTAGAGCTAAGATATTTAGCATGAAACATGTTCTAATGGGTGTCTACCAAGTTTGTTCAAATAAAAGCCCTGGGGTCAAAATTGGCCCCGCCCCGGGGGGTCATTGATTTTCCCTATATGCATATAGTAAAAACTTAAAAAATCTTCTTTTAAAGAACTCAAAGAGCTATTGCTAAGATATTGAGCATCAAACATGTTCTAATAGGTGTCTACCAAGTTTGTTCAAATAAAATCACTGGGGTCAAAATTGGCCCCGCCCCAGGGGGTCATTGATTTTCCCTATATGCATATAGTAAAAACTTAAAAAGTCTTCTTTTAAAGAACCCAAAGAGTTAGAGCAAAGATATTTAGCATGAAACATGTTCTAATAAGTGTTTACCAAGTTTGTTCAAATAAAAGCCCTGGGGTCAAAATTGGCCCCGCCCCAGGGGGTCATTGATTTTCCCTATATGCATATAGTAAAAACTAAAAAAATCTTCACTTAAAGAACCCAAAGAGCTAGAGCTAAGATATTTAGCATGAAACATGTTCTAATGGGTGTCTACCAAGTTTGTTCAAATAAAAGCCCTGGGGTCAAAATTGGCCCCGCCCCGGGGGGTCATTGATTTTCCCTATATGCATATAGTAAAAACTTAAAAAATCTTCTTTTAAAGAACTCAAAGAGCTATTGCTAAGATATTGAGCATCAAACATGTTCTAATAGGTGTCTACCAAGTTTGTTCAAATAAAAGCCCTGGGGTCAAAATTGGCCCCGCCCCAGGGGGTCATTGATTTTCCCTATATGCATATAGTAAAAACTTAAAAAGTCTTCTTTTAAAGAACCCAAAGAGTTAGAGCAAAGATATTTAGCATGAAACATGTTCTAATGGGTGTCTACCAAGTTTGTTCAAATAAAAGCCCTGGGGTCAAAATTGGCCCCACCCCAGGGGGTCATTGATTTTCCCTATATGCATATAGTAAAAACTTAAAAAGTCTTCTTTTAAAAAACCCAAAGAGCTAGAGCTAAGATATTTAGCATGAAACATGTTCTTATGGGTGTCTACCAAGTTTGTTCAAATAAAAGCCCTGGGGTCAAAATTGGCCCCGCCCCGGGGGGTCATTGATTTTCCCTATATGCATATAGTAAAAACTTAAAAAGTCTTCTTTTAAAGTACCCAAAGAGCTAGAGCTAAGATATTTAGCATGAAACATGTTCTAATGGGTGTCTACCAAGTTTGTTCAAATAAAAGCCCTGGGGTCAAAATTGGCCCCGCCCCAGGGGTGTTATTGTTTTTTAACTATATGTGTATAGTAATAACTTAAAAAAAATCTTCTTTTAAAAAGCCCAATGAGCTAGAGCTTAGATGTTTAGCATGAAACATCTTCTTATGGGTGTCTACCAAGTTTGTGCAAATAAAAGCCCTTGGGTTAAAATTGGCCCTGCAACGTTGTGGGGGGGGGGGGGTGGGGGCCTATATACAGGTGAGCGACCTCAGGGCCATCATGGCCCTCTTGTTATTTTACTGCAGATAATTTGTAGGATTTCAATAAAGATAACTTGTTTGATTCGTCAGTCAGCCTTTCTTTGTACTTAAGATAAAATGTACGTCATTCAGTAAATATGGTACTGGTGTCGGTATACTATTGTATTTCTTAAAGTTGATATTATATAATGAATTAAGTATTTTACAGGCATGTTCTGGCAAGTTTAACCCAGTATTCCAGTATTTATATTTTGATGCCCTGGAGTGTCTACCACAAGAAAATAGAGATGAAATTCTTACTGAGGAATCTTGTAAACAGGTAAATGAATATTTTATATATGTCAGTAGGTGTTAGGCATTTGTTTTAAAGAATTATATTTTGACTGAAAATGTTTGAACATAGGGAACTTTGTATTAATTGCAACTGTCATTTCATTTAAAGGAACTCCACTGAAGTTAGAGCATAAAACACAAAATTTGAATTTCATACATAGATCACCAGGTGTACTTAAAATAGAAAGATACGCAAAAGATAATTAAGAAATATACTGAGAAATAGATTGAAAATCATATTTTTGTGTTATTCTTAGCCCAATTTGAGTGAAAAGCATTGAAACCCTTTTCAATTTTGGATCATTTTTTGCAATAAGAATAATTATTCTGGATAAACATGAGTTAGCAAATGATGTGAAATTTGCCACTTAAGTTATTGGCAATGATCTACATCAAATGGAAAATTTATGTCGAAAAAATTATTCCCACTCATGCCATATCAAAACACCTCATTGGACTCCCTTTAATGTTGTAAAAATTTAAATTGTTTGAAAATTTCTATATTGATCCCTTGATCAGTGATAGAGAAAAATATGTCCACAAGTGAGTTCTTAATCTTGTAACACGACTTAAAAACTTTTGTAAGATGAAACATTGTCTGATCTAAATGAATTATGTATACAATGATACATGTGTTCACATTATACAACAATGATCTGATCTAAGTTGATCTTACGTTCACATATTTTCACTATATTAACTTTTATCTTTTAGAACAACAACAGATATGATGGACAGACAGCAGTGTTTGGTCAGGAGTTCCAAAATAAACTTAACAACCTGAAATATTTCCTGGTGAGTTCTCATGTTCTATGATTTTAAAGTTTCAATCATGAAGATATGTAAGAGCTAATATTTCATAATTTTCTAGAATATGTTACAGATATTTTTATGTGAATAAGTTCCAATACCACTTTATTTTCACAGTAATTTTATTTAAAGACAATGTTTAGGGACCTAGAAATTTTCTGTAAATAATGATTATTGTTAAACTTGCTAAACCTCGAAACAACTTTGCGTGTAACAAGTGATAATTCTTATTACTAGATGGTGCGTTATAACTAAAGTGTCAGATTTATAAAAATGTATAAATGATGAATATGTACAGGTTGGAGCTGGAGCTATTGGATGTGAGATGTTAAAGAACTGGGCACTGATGGGTGTAGCTTGTGGTGAAGGTGGAATGGTCTATGTCACTGATATGGACATCATTGAAAAATCTAATCTTAACAGACAGTTTCTGTTCAGACCATGGGATGTATCTGTAAGTGACATTATTATATCTTATTATAAATTAACATAGAAGTTGAAGTTAAAGACCCAGTGTGTCGCAAAATGACTAATATTGTTATTTTATAGAATGTTTTTTGTTAATTGTCCCATTACAGTTTCACAAAAGTTACCCATTGTCTATAAAGCTAAGCCATCTTTTGCAATTTGGCAATTAATAAATACAGTTATAGTGGTTTAGTATTTTGTATTAAAGTAATATACCTCTATTACACATTCTGTCACATTTAGCAATATTTTCTTTATTTACTTTTTTTTAGCTCACCTGTCACAAAGTGACAGGGTGAGCTTTTGTGATCGCTTTTCGTCCGTCGTCCGTCCGTCCGTAAACTTTTACTTTAAATGAAATCTCCTCATAAACCACTAAGCCAATTTCATCCAAACTTCACAGGAATGTTCCTTTGGTGGTCACCTTTCAAAATTGTTCAAAGAATTTAATTCCATGCAAAACTCTGGTTGCCATGGCAATCGAAAAAAAAACACTTTAAATATCTTCTTTTAAAAAACCATAAAAGCTAGAGCTTAGATATTTGGCATGAAACATCATCTAGTGAGTGTCTACCAAGTTTGTTCAAATAAAAGCCCTGGGGTCAAAACTGGCCCCGCCCCGGGGGGTCATTGATTTTCCCTATATGCATATAGTAAAAACTTAAAAAATCTTCTTTTAAAGAACCCAAATAGCTAGAGCTAAGATATTTAGCATGAAACATGTTCTAATTGGTGTCTACCAAGTTTGTTCAAATAAAAGCCCTGGGGTCAAAATTGGCCCCGCCCCGGGGGTCATTGATTTTCCCTATATGCATATAGTAAAAACTTAAAAAATCTTCTTTTAAAGAACCCAAAGAGCTAGAGCTAAGATATTAAGCATGAAACATGTTCTAATGGGTGTCTACCAAGTTTGTTCAAATAAAAGCCTTGGGGTGAAAATTGGCCCCGTCCCGGGGGTCATTGATTTTCCCTATATGCATATAGTAAAAACTTAAAAATCTTCTTTTAAAGGACTCAAACAGCTAGAGCTTAGATATTTGGCATGAAACATCTTCTAGTGTGTGTCTACCAAGTTTGTTCAAATAAAAGCCCTGGGGTCAAAATTGGCCCCGCCCCGGGGGGTCATTGATTTTCCCTATATGCATATAGTAAAAACTTAAAAAATCTTCTTTTAAAGAACTCAAAGAGCTATGGCTAAGATATTGAGCATCAAACATGTTCTAATAGGTGTCTACCAAGTTTGTTCAAATACAAGCCCAGGGGTGAAAATTGGCCCCGCCCCGGGGGTCATTGATTTTCTTTATATGTGTTTAGCAAAAACTTTAAATCTTCTTTGAAAAAACCCAAATAGCTAGAGTTTAGATATTAAGCATGAAACATCTTCTAGTAAGTGTCTACAAAGTTTGTTCAAATAAAAGCCCTGGGGTCAAAACTGGCCCGGCCCCAGGGGTCTCATTGTTTTTAACTATATGTGTATAGTAAAAACTAAAAAAAATCTTCTTTTAAAAAGCCCAATGAGCTAGAACTTAAATGTTTAGCATGAAACATCTTATGGGTGTCTACCAAGTTTGTGCAAATAAAAGCCCTTGGGTTAAATTGGCTCTGCAACGTTGGGGGAGTGGGGGTTTGGGGGCCTATATACAGGTGAGCGACCTCAGGGCCATCATGGCCCTCTTGTTTTATCCACTGTTGAAACATTATAAGGCACATGTTTGCCCTTTATACTTAAAGCAGAAAATATTCATTTCTTATGCTAAAAAAATGTTAAAAATATCTTACCATATATTGATTTAGATTAGTTAAGGAGATATTTTATTTATAAATAGAAACACAAGTCATCAACAGCAGCATCTGCAGCAAAGGTGATGAACCCTGCCCTCAAGATAACCGCACAGGAAAACCGGGTCGGACAGGATACTGAAAATATTTATACTGATGATTTCTTTGAACAGCTGGATGGTGTGGCCAATGCCCTTGATAATGTTGATGCTCGTAAGTCTTTATAATGTTTTCAACAATCATCTCATATCATATTTGACTAAATAGAGAATGTCAAAACGATAAGGCTAGTGTTTGTAATGAAAATATTACCATACCATCATATAAATACAGTACAAATAATAAGATTTTAAATTATTAAGACATTGCTTTAAAAAGTTGGTGTAGTAAAATGTTATATTTTTAAATCAAGAGGCCTAGTATTAGATTAAAGACACTTTTCATAGATTTATATTGATTTCAGAATCCCAACTCTATAGTTATATAAAAGAAATATTTTTGAGGGAATGTGACATAACTACTAAGGCTAAGAATCCAATTAAATAAGTCAAAACAGCTTGATTAATTGGTGTAGTTGAATATGCATATTGAATGAATTTTATATTTTAAATATAATATTGTAACTACAGGTATGTATATGGACAGAAGATGTGTGTATTACAGAAAATCTTTGTTAGAATCTGGAACACTGGGTACTAAAGCAAATGTTCAGGTTAGTGTAAATATGCATTTGAACAAAGCAAACATTATTTATAAGAAATAATGATAGAATTAAGAATTCATTTCTTAATATATCTTGTCAATAAGTGTTAATAACTTACTGTAATGTTAAAATTGTATTATAGATTCATCTGTGCTCAACGTTTGGATATAAATATATATTTTTTTAGTAAAATATTTAGGAACATTTCTTATTTGTGTACAAAGGAATGTTTGTGTTACACAGGTTGTATTAAGGTGGCTTGTCATTATATAATACAGTTATCATTTTTGGTGCACCTTTAAGAAAGGTACCTTGTCTGTATCAAAACTTGCTTAACTTAATATTAAGTAAGGTAGCTTGTCAATATATAATAATCAATTGTTGGTATACAACATTGCTTAGTGAAATATTAAGTAAGATAGCTTGTCAATATATACAATTAGTTTTTCATCACTTGCAACTGTTTCTTACTTATTTCTGGTACAAAAGAATGAAGCATATGAATGGTTATCCCCCTTATACAGTTACTTATTATAAATGTATAGCAGGTATTATTTTATAATTGATTGTTTGTAATCAAGACTAATCTAGTCATGTGATCAAGTGTAGATGTGTTCCTGTTTGTTTACAGGTAGTTATACCACATCTGACAGAATCATATTCATCATCACAAGATCCTCCAGAGAAGTCTATACCAATCTGTACACTGAAGAACTTTCCTAATGCCATTGAACACACCTTACAGTGGGCAAGAGACACATTCGAGGGCGAGTTTAAGGGACCAATAGAAACAGCCAATCTTTATTTAACAGATCCTAAATTTCTTGAGAGAACTTTTAAACTACAAGGAACACAACCTGTGAGTATTTTGTTATGGAATAACTAAATATATGTGCAATATGTGATGTCTTGACTTATGAATATGATTACATATTTATGTTTTTCTATGATAAATATGATAAATAAAATCAGCTGTCAAAATATCGGACATGATAAGAGTTTTGTTCATTTTAGCTGCTCCACTTTTCGAGGTAAAAGCTGTGAGTCAATGATGAATGTCATGACCTACTTGTCAGCATTAACATTTTTGGTCAAGGTTTTGTTTATGGTCATTAACTTCAAAAGTAACTGTGATATGAATGTAAATACACCTTGCTAAGTTAAACCTCTCAAAGACATTATCAGGTATACTGGTACCTGTAATAGCAAAACATAAAGATAATTACATATGTTATATCAAAGTGCATTTCCCTTGAAACTTCAAACTTTGTTTGTACCTGTATGATTCAAACCCACCATAACCATTTAAGGTTACAGAAAGTTAGTGTTTCTACTCATGTGCATGTTCATGCCTGAAATTATGCATGTAAGGGCACCTGTGAGGTCTTCCTCCACCAGTAAAGTGGGAAATTGGCCATATGACCTAAGAAGAGAAGAAAAAAACATTTAAGGTGAAAAGGTCAAGCTTTACTATTAAGCAAATGAGAAAAGTGAAAGGTGAACAGCTGTTGTTAATCAAGGTTTTTTTGCTTGAATACTCAGTTCAATGTTAATTTGAATAATCATATATGATTTGTTTTAAGAAAATGAAAATAAGCTTTCTGGTATGAACTATTGGTAGTAATATCCTCTCATTTCTTTCCTACAGATTGAAACATTGGACACAGTTCGTAAAGTGTTGGTGGACAATAGGCCGTCAAGTTTTGAAGACTGCGTGACCTATGCTAGAAAAGTTTTTCAAGAAAATTATGATAATCAGATACAGCAGTTATTGTTTAATTTCCCATCAGATCAGGTACAGTTATATAACTGATAACTTTAAGTTAACTACCTAAACACACTTCTTATGTGGCTAATTGGATCTTAACAGTATCTAGTTGATTTATAATGAAGTTTGGAATCTCTTAATGAAGTCATTTGAGAACAATTTTTTAGCTCGACTATACAAAGTATATTGAGAGCTGTTCTACTCGCCCCGGCGTCGACGTTCGCGTCCAGATTTCAGATTAAAGTTTTGGTGCAGTAAAATATTTTTCACTATAACTTTGTCATTTCTTAAGGTATCAACTTCAAACTTCATATATATGTTCCTTATCATCAACCACATCTTCTGTGACAAGTTTCATAACTTTAGCACCAATATTTTCAGATATATCTCCCCTTGAACTTAGAATTTTCCTTAAAAAATACTATTTTTACTGTTACTTATTTATTTCTTAAGGGATCAACTACATACTTCAAATATATGTACCTTATCATTAACCACATGTTATGTGACAAGGTACATAACTCTAGCACTAATATTGCAAGAATTATCTCCCCATAAACTTAGATTTCTTTACTAGAAAAATGTTATTTTTTACTATAACTTTTTTAGTTTTAAAGGTATCTACCCCAAACTTTAAATACTTATTCCTTATCATCAATTACATTTTATGTGACAATGTTCATAACTCTTGAAGCAATATTTACAGCTTTATCTCTCTTTGAACTTAGGATTTTCCTTAAGAAATATTATAACTTCTTTATTTTTTAAGGTATCTACTTCAAACTTCAAATATATATTTCTTATCATAACACACATGTTGTGTGACAAGGTTCATACCTCTAGCTAGACTATTTCCAGAATTATTCCCCTTGATCTTGGAATTTATGTTAACAATTTTATTATCCCCCGCCGAAAAATTTCGGCGGAGGATATAGAAATAGTCTCCGTCCGTCTGTCCTTCCGTCCGTCCGTCCTTCCGTCCGACATTTTTGTCCGGAGCATATCTCTAAAAGTATTTGAGTTATCAACTTGAAACTTCATAAGTGGATAGACCTCATTGAGGAGGAGTGCAGTGCACAAGAATGATAACTCTACCTTGCATGATTTTTGAGTTATTGCCCTTTGTTATTTTTCAAAATTGATTTTTGTCCAGAGCATAACTCCAAAAGCCTATGAGATATTAACATGAAACTTCATAGGTGCATAGATCTCACTCAGGAGGTGTGCAGTGCACAAGAATGATAACTCTACCTTTCATAATGTTTGAGTTATTGCCCTTTGTTATTTTTCATACCTAATTTTTCACCTAAGTGGAGCATAACTCAAAAAGTGTTTGAGATATCAACATGAAATGTCATAGGTAGATAGATCTTATTGATGAGGAATGTTGTGCGCAAGAATGATAACTCTTCCCTATACAATTTTTGAGTTATTGCCCTTTTTTTTTTCATGCTATTTTGTCCAGAGCTTATCTCAAAAAGTATTTGAGGTATCAACTTGAAACTGCAAAGGTGGATGGATCTCATTGAGGAGAAGTGCAGTGCTTAAGAATGATAACTCTACCCTGCATTATTTTTGAGTTATTGCCCTTTGTTATTTTTCAAAATTAATTTTTGTCCAGAGCATAACTCAAAAAAGCCTTTGAGATATCAAAATGAAACTTCATAGGTGCATAGATCTCTGACTCAGGAGGTGTGCACTGCACAAGAATGATAACTCTACCTTTTATAATTTTTGAGTTATTGCCCTTTGTTCTTTTTCATACTTTAATTTTTTCTCAAAAAGTATTTGAGGTATCAACTTGAAACTTCATAGGTGGATAGATTTTACTGAGGAGGGATGCAGCACACAATAATGATAACCTACCCTGCATTATTTTTCAGTAATTGCCCTTTGTTATTTTCAGCCATCAGTATTCACATAGGTTTCAAATCTGTAATCACTATAGCCATCAGTTTTCATTACCAAAAGACCTCTTAAAATAGAATTATTCCGCTCTACTACATATACATTCTTCCAATGAGCAAACACATTCGGCGGGGGATGGCCATGTTGACATGGCTCTTGTTTTTTTACTATAACTTAATCATACATAATTGATTTTTCTTTCATAGTTTTGTCTTCCTTACTGCGTCCAGTATTTTATTAGTCGAGCTTTGCTGTCTCCTGTGACAGTTCTTATTATAATTAAAATTAAAAAGGCAAACAATAAATGAGGGATGGGAGCTATATAGAAGTGAAGGATGAAAAACTGTATAGCTTTTTTCTGTATCACAAAGTTGGCAGAATTTAAATGTACACATTGTAGCTTCTTTATATATAGCAATAAAAGTAAGTAGTTTGGACATGACAAAAGTTTGCATGATACAAATATAAAAAAATCATATTTGTGATATGTTTGCTGAACTTTCATCATTAATGTAGAGAAATGTGTTTTAAAAAAGCTATTTTTGATTTATATTTCAGGTGACAAGTTCTGGGGCACCATTCTGGTCTGGACCAAAAAGATGTCCCCATCCTCTAAAATTTGATTCTAATAATGTAAGTAACTTACTGCAGCTGTTTTGTTATATAAACTTATTTCTATTATAAAAATGTTTGATAAGTGATACCTAGTAATGTCTAACTTATAAAAGATATTATTGTCTATTGGATATTGTGTTTAGTTTCAAATTTAAAATTAAACCTGATCATTGTAAACTATTTCAGGACGTTCATTTAGACTTTGTTGCTTCTGCTGCCAATCTGAAGGCAGAAATCTATGGGTTAAAGCAGGTTCGGGACAGAGCGGCAATCAAGGCTATGGTAGATAAAATCGTGGTAGAAGAGTTCAAACCTCGGTCTGGCATCAAGATATCGGTGACAGATGCTGATCTTGAGGCCAATGCCAACAATGGAAACTTTGGTGTGTTGAAAACTGAAACTTAACTGGAAGGCTTATCCTTGAATGTCAGACAGGATTATCAATGTTTATAAATGCAGTTAAAGTTTATTGATAATTTATAGTTAACATTAATTTAAAAAATGACAAGGTTTTATGCTGGGGAAAAAGATATGTCATCAGCCATGATCAGGCTTTGTTTTTGCCAGCAAGCTTTGTTTTTTGTAGGATCAAATATAATATTTTGTATTGAAGTGTCTGTTGACCTAGCTCAATAGGGAGAGCATTAGATTTGTAATCCTAAGATCACTGGTTTGATCTAGGTAATGGTATTTGTCTATCGCTGCTTATTCAAAAATCAAGTTGGATTAGTTGTCAGTTTCTTATGACAAAACTTGGTACTTACTGGTCATTTGTCTACATGGATACAACCACCAAAATATGACCAAAAATGGGATAAAATGGGTGTTAAAGATAGACAAACAAATATTGAAGAGTGATGGTTGTTGAAAATCTTTAAATAATACTAAATCATGACCTAGTGTAAACTGTAACTGTTGATATCTATAACTTTGGTATTTTAAACCTAGCTGGTGTTATAACATTTGTTATTCAAGGTTATTTACTAAGAGGACTTCTTGTTCAATTTTCACTGACAAATGTTTGCTGGCTTTGAATTGTTGAAACATATTTAGCTTAAAATGGCTATATAACTGTGGCTAATATATGTTTATAGATTATGACTTGTTCTATACAATCAACCGTGTACAGTAAAAGTCATGTTATTAATTTGTTTGTATGTTTGTTACAGACACAGATGATATACAGAAATTAAAGGATAGTTTACCTTCACCAGCCAGTATGAAGGGATTTTTGTTACGTCCAGTAGAATTTGAGAAGGATGATGACAGTAACTTTCACATGGACTTTATTGTATCATGTTCTAATCTTAGAGCAGAGAATTATGACATTCCACCTGCAGACAGACACAAGGTTTGTACATAAGTTGTAAAATTATTAGCTCAATTTATCGCATACCCATGCCACTTTTGTGACTCTGTAAAAATGGTATTGCATGGCTGTACATATATTTTGGCATGACATCTTTTACGTTACGAACATAGCCATAAGACACGCTGAATGTTGGGTTTTTAGGCTTGATTTAAACCAATGCCATTTACTTATTTCTGATGTAATAAAACTACTAAAATCTAAAACAAGACCAAATTAAACCTTGAGGTTATAAAGCATTTTTCTGAGCTCTGTCGCCAAGCTTAGAAAATTTATAGATCAGAACACATTCTGTGTTGGTTCCTGAACAACACAATACCTGGGATCTGAGTCTTTACTTTGCTGTCACTTTGTAACATAGTCTTGTTAATAAAAAGAATTTAAAAAAATACTACTGTATATAACTGATGCTAATTGTATAATATATGTTTACAGAGTAAGCTGATTGCTGGTAGAATTATTCCAGCTATAGCAACAACAACAGCCATGGTGGTAGGATTAGTTTGTCTGGAAATGTATAAGGTAAGTTAATATAAACATTTAATGTCATTGTTAATTTATGTCATATTATTATGTTATAATAATATTATAAACTTAATGTATATAAAATATTTTCCAGTTGTTCTCACTGTTCACTGTTCTAGACAATGTTAGTATAACTTTTGGGTCCAACCCTTTTGTATGTACATTGTATTTATGCTTAAGATAATGATGTTAGATTGTGTAAATTTATCATGTACAAAATATACAATAAAATATTGTTAAACTGAATTAAAATTGTTCTTAGTGTTTAATGTGTACATTTATGTCTTGTAGATCGTACAAGGGCACAAGAAGTTAGAATTATTCAAGAATGGATTCTGTAACCTTGCTTTACCTTTCTTTGCATTCTCGGAGCCAATTGCTGCACCCAAAAATAAGGTAATTGTATTGTTTTATTTGCTGGTGATTGAAATGAAAAGTATGAATGGATGTGTTTTAATATGTGGCGATTTATATTTTAGTACGTGTATGTTGATTTCATAGTTATATGAATATATTTATAATATTGTTAATTCAGTGATATTTGTTTATAAGATGATCAAGTGTAATGGTAATTTATATTTCATTACTGATCCATAAATCATGTGGGATTAGTAATCTTTCAGTTACGGAGAAATATCTAATTACTGGTTAGTTTTCCAGGAAAGTCAATAAGGTATCCGGAACAAAGAGATGTGACCAAATATTTGTTAAAGTCTACATAGAAAACAAACTAGATATTTCCTTGTTTTCATCACATAAGATACATATTTTTGACCTTTGTTATTTTATATTGTTCATCTTTACATCTGATGTAGGCCATTTTATTATGTAAAACTTCACCTCTGTTGTTCACCAACATAATGGGTTTGCGACCAGCATGGATCCAGACCAGCCTGGGCATCCGCGCAGTCTGATGAGGATCCATGCTGTTCGCTTACAAACCCTATAACAAGTAGAGAAACTGAGAGCGAACAGCATGGATCCTGATCAGACTGCGCGGATGCGAAGGCTGGTCTGGATCCATGCTGGTCGCAAACCCATTATGTTGGTTTTGTCGTGGCGCGGCTCATATATAACATTGTTTTATTTACAGTACTATGATAAAGAGTTTACATTGTGGGACAGATTTGAGATACAGGGTGAAATGACGCTGCAGGAATTTGTTGATCATTTCCAGGTAATATTGATACATGATATATGATCTATTATATTGGAGTTTATATGGAAGATAATATCCTGAGTAACACATATGGTCTTGATGAATTGTTGAAGACTTGTTTATTTTCACTGGTACATGTTTAGGGTTCTTGAACACCTTTATTCTTTTGTTACTGATCACTTGAAATATATAGGGGCGTCCGTGGCCAAGTGGTTAAAGTCGTTGACTTCAAACCACTTGCCCCTCACCGCTGTGGGTTCGAATCCCGACAGGGACATTGGATTCTTTCATGTGAGGAAGCTATCCAGCTAGCTTACGGAACGTCGGTGGTTCTACTCAGGTGCCCGTTCGTGCCTGAAATAATGCACGGAGAGGCACTTGAGGTCTTCCTCCACCAGTAAAGCTGGAACGTCGCGTTATGACCTATACTGTGTCGATGTGATGTAAAACCCAAAACAAACAAAAAAATTGAAGTATATTATCAAAATCACCATCTGTACAAAAATACTTGGACAATTTTCAGTCCGCGGCCAAGTTATAAATGCTGTTGACTTCAAACCACTTGCCACACACTGATGTTGGTTTGGAATCCCCACAATAACTTTGGATTCTGTCATGTGAAAATGCTATCCTGCTAGCTTATTGTATGTAGTTGGATCTACTCAGGGTTTCCTTTCATGCCTGAAATAATGTATGGAGGGGCACCCGGGGTCTTACTTCACCAGTAAAGCTTGAAAGTTGGCATATGACCTATAGTGTTGGTGCTATGTTAAACCCAATATCAGGGCTGGCAAAATCTGATTTTGACCTACTAGTAGCATTTCTTAAATTGTCTGTATAACATCTATATAGTAAATTCTTGAAAATTTCCACTTGTCCATACAAGCTGTGGGACAACCTGGGCAATACGGACAATTGTTTTTGCCACCCCTGAATAAGTTAAATATTTTGAATGTATTATAAGAATGGTAAAATTATTATTTACAGAATGATCACAAGTTGGAGATTACAATGTTGTCACAGGGTGTAACAATGCTCTTCTCTTTCTTCATGCCAGCAGCCAAACGAACTGAAAGAATGCCACTACCGTAAGTTAAAACAATCTTAATTATTGTGCATAGAGATTAAATTCAGTTACATATTGAAAAACATAGTAAAAATCCATTTTAACTTCTTTTTTTTTAGATATTTTAATTTTCTTTGGTGTGAATTTGTTTGTTTTGAGCAAGATTGTGAAAGGTTGATTAAGGAGAAATTAATGCAAATTGACATTAAGTCACTTGTAGATGTTTACCAATAGAGTTGCTAAAAGTACAAATTATTTGTTTGTAAATAAATAAAATTCTTTTTCCAGGATATCTGAAGTGGTAAAGAAAGTCTCAAAGAAAAAGATTCCTAGTTACGTGAAAGCGCTGGTTCTAGAATTGTGTTGTAATGATACTGATGGTGAAGATGTGGAAGTTCCATACGTACAATACCGGCTACCACAATAACTCTAGTACTTACCTCCCTTCCTACCACAGCTCAACTCGTATTGTCTCCCTTTAATGAGTGAATAGACACTACTTGGGCAAAAAAAATGAAAAACGTGATTGAGAAATTATTCAAAATGTGAAAACTGAAACTGTGTTTTGTAAATACATATTTGTGTATTCATTATTGATAATATTTCGTATGTAGTTAAGGATAATTCATTAAAGCAGATGTGAAAATCGATATCAGTTATACAGAATAATTAAGTTAAACAAATAAAGTGCTTTAAAGTGTGTGATAGAAATGTTAGAAAGACAAAAAATGATTCTTATAGAATCTGGAACAATCTTGCTTATGTTTTGTGGGTAGTGATTAGCATTAATGCATCAGAGAAATGTAAAAACATTTTAGACTTTATTTACAATGGAAATCTCTCTTATCAAAAAGTGCTATTGTAAAGTTAAAACATGTATGTGCTGTTGTATTTATATATGTGCTGATTTTGTTATTTAAGTTTATATCATTTGACATGGAAGAGTTTTGAATGTTTGTGAACAATATATTTGGAAATGCCAAAATTTTAATTTGGTATTTGTAATTGTTTATTTTTTGCACGGTTATTTGGACCTACCATTTTTGGTATGACATAAGAATAAAATCATTGTATAGAAAGTGTTGTTGTTGTTGTTATTTTGATGCTAATGCTTCTAATGCTTAGTCTTTAACTCCATTTAGCTGATTTTAGCTCGACTATTCAAATAATAGGGAAAAATATTGTCCTCGCCCAACTGGATGAGATTTGTCTTCTTGCACAAAAGGCGTACCTCGACCTTGACCCTGAAGCACAGGAACTGCTCGCGCTGCAGCATTTTTATGAAAATATAACTCCTGAATTGTGTCCAAAACGAGATCCACTTTCTGCTAAACGGGCCAAAATACAAAAAAAAAATATATATTAAGGTGATTCTGCTTTGTCAGCCATATTTGTTTTCACTAAGCGAGTCAAAAGTGAAAGTAGGCCAAAATTCACATAACAGATCGCAATGTAAAATGATGAACCATTTGAAAGTACACTTCCAGGTCTATATTTTAAGGACTATTATAAACGAAAATAAAAAAAGATAATAAGAATTTACCTTGAATGTGCTAAATTTCTGAAGACCAAGTACATTCTGTTGCAAAGTTTTATGCACATTTCATGAAAGGCAAAATCCAGTTTAAAGTCCGTTTTAGTGCAGACATGCTTTTTTGTGACAGAGCAGAATCACCTTAGAATAGAATTATTTGATCACAGTGATTTAGTGAATTATTAAGTGATACCCTGACTATAAGATTTAATAACGATTGCAAATTGATCTTCACAAATCTTGATTATTTAGTGAACAAATTCAAGTAGACGTGACGCAATTTACAAAAATACTTAGTATATCAGTAGATATTTCTTACTTTCATTTACAATATTTTCTAGCTAATTATCCTGTCCATGATTGTATTCTGTGCAATATTACAAGACCGCCTCCGTGGTCGAGGGGTTAGGGCCGATGACTTCTAATCCAGTTACCTCTCTGGCGTGGGTTCGATCCCCGGGAGATGCTTTGGTAGTTTAGCGGGGAGGAAGGTAGTCTAGTACTGGTGTAACTCTCCAGGAACGATGGTTAGGAAACTACCCGCCTATATGAGTATACTGACTGAAATACTGTTGGAAAAAGGCGTAAAATGAAACAAACAAACAAACAAAAGCATTATAACAAGTTTAAGGTGAATCTGTTAAAATCATTCATGTACTATTGTACTAGTTCAAGAAATTGAACGAAATTAAATAACTACATTTATACATATGACGTGTTCTATAAACATGGGATTGTTTGGTTTGTATTTATTTTATATTCATTATGCTTGTTCATGAATTACAAGTCAATATAATAGATATTTTTTTCTTCTTTACTCCGGCCATAGATGCAAAAATAGGCGAGTCCTCCAGAAGAGTATTTGTCATGGATAGTTCAAGATACAGAAAGGTGTCCCAATTACAGAAGCTTCTCCTGGTTCTAAGCATGCCAAGTGTTTAAGCACTCATACACGGGACCTCGATTTAAAGTCTCATCCGAAAGACTTAGTTAGTTGGCAAGCTCGGAGATTGAACCCACAATGTCGAGATTACAATTCTCACGCTCTAACCTATTGAGCTTTAATATGCGCACTATAAAGTTTGTGATTTTTATAAGAAAATTTCCCGCCGGAAACGGATACGGTTCATGAGATGTATAAAAAATTAGAAAAAAGCTAATACTTGAGAAAACATGAGCAAAATTACACCCTTTAAAAGTCCCTTTAGCCTTCACAACTTAAAAAAAAAATCAAAGTTAAGGAAGGAAATGTCTGTAAAAACATCTCTATTTCTTGTTCATCAACAGAATAATTTGGATTTACGTGAAAACGTTTTTTTTAGGCAAAAAATTCACCAATAACTAATTTACAAAATCAAAAATTTAGTATTATACTTTACTTTTAACATATGTGATATAGTATCATTGATTAAGTGAACAACATTTTAATGATTTAAAGTGAATTTATTCCTCTACGGATACGGATTCAATAGGTGAACACTATATATTTCTTTTATCTATATTTTTGTAATTTACTCAATTTTATTATAGCGAAATCATTATTACTATTTGATGAAATTCTAAAATATAATATTTGATTTGTAAAATAATGTAATAAATATTTGATGAAGTTTTGAAGATGAATATGTCTTTAATCATTAAAATATATTTTATAACAACTTTTTATTTAACAGAGGGACAGTTACTGCTGATACTAACAACTAAAAAAATCTAATTAATTTAATTATTCAGAGTTGTAACATTCTTGCCATTATTTGTAGTATATTCTAATTCCCGTTAACGAATACGAAAAATTTATTTAGCATTAAACATGTTAATACAGTGTTTATAGTATAGACAAATCCAAAGTACAGTGTGAACAAACACAAAGAAAAACAAACAACGAAATGCAATGTTTTAGTATAAATCGTTAACAACAAGTAAAGTTAAATGAGAAGTCAAGTTTTTTTTGTCTATTGAATACAGCATTTTTTTCATAAGTGATATGGGTTACGAAAAGCGTATCAGGGCCTTTACAGTTGGTGAGTAATTTTTTTTGCGCTAAGGGTCGATTATTTTTAATTCGCATTGGGATAAGATATTTTTGCATTTCTCAATAAATTTTTTTAACTGACAAAGATGAGAAACTTTTAGGCTTTTGGACTGATTTTTTTCTCGATATGCTTGAAACCTTTGTCTCTTTTGACAAAATCCTGTCGGAATTTCGTGATTCACGACTTTGCTGAAATATTTATTAAGACGCAAACGACGGGTTACTCGCATTGAACACATATCCTCACTTAAATTTAACAAAAGTTTTTTGGCAATTGATTAAAACTTTCTACTATTACGTAATAAATCATAACGTCTTCAATTTTTGGTCAAACGAGAAGAAACAAGTTGGACATGGACGAGAACTTTTAGATTAGTGGACCCCTGATAAGCTTCGCTAGCAATGTGAATCATTTTTCATATCACTAGAATAAAAATCTAAAAAAACTTGATTTTCTATTTAAATTATAATACTTTTCTCTCCTTTTGACCTTACCGATTCGAAAAACTACATTGATATTTTAACAATTTTCTGATTTTGAAATACGGAAATATGTTTTACTGCTAGAGGATTTTTTTTTCTGTAAATACACGATTTATTATTATCGAGTGGCATGAAAATAGATATTTCACAAGTGGCAGTATACAGGAGTGAAATATGATAATTTTCATGCCACAAGAAGAAAATAAATCCTGTATTAATAGAAAAAGAATTAATTTTCTGTTTCTCTTTTTTTAACCTTTAAAATCCTTTTAATTTTTGTTTGGCTGAATTTAGAAGAAGAAGTCCGGCAAGACACCAGAGAAAGTTTCACAGTGAAAAATACTTTTTTTACAGTGAAAATAAAAATATGCATTTTATTTCATCAATGTTTATCAATATTTCATTTATAAGTATATAATAAATATTTTTACAATGACAATGTGCATTTTATTTCATCTATAAATATATAATAAATATCATTATCTACACATAGAATGTTTTCTACTGATAACCCTAACTAACCTTATAATTATGTCTGTTACGTTTGCAGTATATTTGGCTGATTGTTGTATCACTGATAATCATAAAAGATGTGGAAACTAACGACTATAATCCTGGTAAGACAATATTGTCTTTATTACCAATCTTCTATAATATAATTATAATTTGGTCATGTATCTAGTATATATTTATTAAAAGCAGCACTCCTCCAGATTCATGTGAATTTTCATGAATACTTTGGAAATGTATTTTAAAGTTAAAGATTGCGAGGTAAACAAATAAAGTAGTTAAAATATTGCAATCGGCACTTATAATCCAAGAAAATTACCAAAAAGTGGTCAAAAATAGCCCTTACTGCGTTAGCAACGCAATAGAAATATGGTGATAAAATACCGCAAAATCAGTCTTTAACTGCACATACCAGTGCACGTGAAATTTAACTTGGATCTTGAATGCTATTTTTTTTCTTAAAATGTTAGTACAATGTACATTTTTCTCAATATTGAATAAGATAAACAAATTTCATTAAAATCTTCATGTTTTACTACAATTATTTGATGCGTTTGTTGGCTCAATGCTTAATTATGCATGTCCGGTTTGGGGTTTTACTAAATCTAAATAAAGATAATGAAAGAGTACACCTTAAGTTTTGCAAATCAATATTAGGAGTAAAACAATGTGCTAGTAATAATGCAGTGTATGGCGAATTAGGTAGATACCCCTTACATATCAACAGATACAACAAATCATTAAGTTTTGGCTTAAGCTTGTCAATACGGATAATATTATACTGAAAGAAATTTATAGATATACAGTAAGTAATAGTTTGACTGGTGTGAATAATTGGGCTCAAAATGTAAATTCCATATTAAAGGAATTTGGCTTTTCTTATGTGTGGGATAACCCATTAAATATCAAAAGTAGTTTCTTTTTATCTGACTTTAAGCAAAGAGTTATTGATTGTTCTAGGCAAAAAAGACATTCAGACATAGAAAATAATATCGTACTAAAAACTTTGCATAGTTATATCAAAAATACTTTTGTTTGGAACCTTATTTAAGAAATATTTATTGCAAAGGTATATGTATGAATATTTGTAGAATTAGAATATCTGCTCATAACTTAAGGATTGAAACAAAAAGATACGGACGTAATAGAACACAAAGAAATGAAAGATTGTGTCAATTATGTAACTTACCAGAAATTGAAGCTGAATATCATTTTATTTTAGTTTGTCCATGTTATCAAGATATTCGAAGAAGATTTAGCAATATATAGATGTAGAAAGTAAAAAAGAGACAAGAATTGTTACTACCAGTTGTTAATTGATAACACATTTTGTAATGTTAATTGGTTCAACTTATTATCCTTATTATCGTTAAAAAGATACATGAAATACTTTTTTCACGTCTTTTTGTTTTTGGTGTTTTTCTATCTTTCTGGAACTTTTTATCTCTATAAATGATATTGATGTTGTGATGCTATTTTTTTCTTTATTTGCAGCTGTCTGTTCTCCGTTTGAAACAAATTTTCTAAAATGTCATTATTTAAAACTTTTTATGTTCTTTATATTATTTTTTTCTTTGCTTTTGTCATGTGGCCACAGAATGAGATAATGAAAACGTATAAGTTACCGAAATAAACTATTTCTTCTCTTCATAAAAGGATTTTTGCAGCCACGGCATCAATACAATTAAATTTGTACAGTAAATACTTCAGTTAAAAAAGAGAAAAATAAAATAGGCACATTTTATCACAAAACATGAAAAAGTGTGTATAGTTTAGGCAATCCTGGCACAATATGGGACAGGCTGGTGCACTTGTGATCTCGGGCAAACAAATGTCCTTGAGATCATACTCACGGAATTTAAAAGATGGCTAAAGATTTTCAACAGTTTGTAGAAAATTGTACATGGCAATCCAGAATATAAGAAAAGTATCATTCTTAGTTCATTAATGATGTTATATTTTATGCTGTAATAACTATATGAGCCGTGTCATGACAAAACCAACATAGTGCGTTTGCGACCAGCATGGAGCCAGACCAGTCTTCGCATCCGCGCAGTCTGATCAGGATCCACAAACCCTATTACAAGTATAGAGAAACTGATAGCGAACAGCATGGATCCTGATCAGACTGCGCGGATGCGCAGGCTGGGTTGGATCCATGCTGGTCGCAAACGCATTATGTTGGTTTTGTCATGACGCGGCTCATATTATGTTGTACTGTTGTTGACATAGTTACAGATATTTCAGTTTATATCTTACATTTACTTGTTAACCTAGAAATGTAACAACTTTTGATTTCCCATACTCTTTTCCTCTCTACTATTATAATTTTCACAAGTTTGCACATTTATTTACGAAAGCCTAATAGTGTCAAATGAAATAAAAAATAAAAATGCAAAGGCGTTATAACGCGAATAAAGGCATTATTACGCGAATCAAAAGGCGTAAGAACGCGAATAAAGGCGTAGCAACGCGAACCAAAAGGCGTAACAACGCGAATAAAGGCGTAGCAACGCGAATCAAAAGGCGTAATAACGCGAATAAAGGCGTAGCAACGCGAATAAAGGCGTTATAACGCGAATCAAAAGGCGTAATAACGCGAATAAAGGCGTTATAACGCGAATCAAAAGGCGTAGTAACGACTTTATTCGCGTTATAACGCGAATCAAAAGGCGTAGTAACGCGAATAAAGGCGTTATAACGCGAATAAAAAGGCGTAATAACGCGAATCAAGGCGTAATAACGCGAATCAAAAGGCGTAGTAACGCGAATAAAGGCGTAGTAACGCGAACCAAAAGGCGTAATAACGCAAATTAAAACACATTATAATGCCAATTTAATACCATATTTATACTAATCAAATTCGCGAGAAAGGAAGACCAATATTGATCTGAATTTATTGCTCAAGATATAAACTCGTATACAATAATACAATATACATTTACAATAACTTTCATTCTATTTGCACAGTAATTATGCAAACTATTTGTCATAAACTAATAAAGACTCTTTAATATTTGCCAATATAAGATGACTTGGTGACTTATAGGTTATAAAGTATTACCTCCTTCAAATAACAATCCTCCTACGAAGTTTGAATATTGTGGGCCAAATGGAACTTAAGTTATGCTCCCGAAACCAAATTGCTTACGGACGGATGGACGGACAGACAGACAGACGGACGGACGCACGTTCCAACATTTTGGGTTTAGGGTCTATTTTCTTTGTTATTTTCTTTGTTCTCTTAAGGGCTACTAGCCCATAAACCCTTTGATCACGGATTGAACCTATTGTTCTCTTTTGTTCTCTTTACTGTTATATAGCCCCTAAACCCAAAATGTTTGCTCGGACGTACGGACGCCAGGGGGGTATAACATAATATGCCCGAAATTCTTTCGGGCATATGATAAAACGTACATCTAGATCAATTCATTTAAATCAACATTGTTCTTCCTTCCATACATTAATAGGCCACTGTTTGGAATTTATATGGTATTAAATTAGCGTTATAACGCCTTTTGTTTTGCGTTATTACGCCTTTTGGTTCGCGTTATTACGCCTTTTGATTCGCGTTATAACGCATTTATTCGCGTTAGTACGCCTTTTGATTCGCGTAATTACGCCTATTGTTTCGCGTTATTACGCGAATAAAGGCGTTATTACGCTTTTCAATTCGCGTTATTACGCCTTTTGGTTCGCGTTACTACGCCTTTGTTCGCGTTATAACGCCTTTGTTTCGCGTTATAACGCCTTTATTCGCGTTGCTACGCCTTTTTTCGCGTAATTACGCCTTTTGATTCGCGTTATTACGCCTTTTGATTCGCGTTATTACGCCTTTTGATTCGCGTTATAACGCCTTTATTCGCGTTGCTACGCCTTTTTTCGCGTAATTACGCCTTTTGATTTGCGTAATAACGCCTTTATTCGCGTTGTTACGCCTTTTTTCGCGTTGCTACGCCTTTCGATTCGCGTTGCTACGCCTTTTGGTTCGCGTTACTACGCCTTTATTCGCGTTATAACGCCTTTGTTTCGCGTTATAACGCCTTTATTCGCGTTGCTACGCCTTTTTTCGCGTAATTACGCCTTTTGATTCGCGTAATTACGCCTTTTGATTCGCGTTATTACGCCTTTTGATTCGCGTTATTACGCCTTTTGATTCGCGTTATAACGCCTTTATTCGCGTTGCTACGCCTTTTTTCGCGTTGCTACGCCTTTCGATTCGCGTTGCTACGCCTTTTGGTTCGCGTTACTACGCCTTTATTCGCGTTATAACGCCTTTGTTTCGCGTTATAACGCCTTTATTCGCGTTGCTACGCCTTTTTTCGCGTAATTACGCCTTTTGATTCGCGTAATTACGCCTTTTGATTCGCGAAATTACGCCTTTTGATTCGCGTTATTACGCCTTTTGATTCGCGTTACTACGCCTTTATTCGCGTTATTACGCCTTTGTTTCGCGTTATAACGCCTTTATTCGCGTTGCTACGCCTTTTTTCGCGTAATTACGCCTTTTGATTCGCGTAATTACGCCTTTTAATTCGCGTTACTACGCCTTTATTCGCGTTATAACGCCTTTGCATTTTTATTTTTTATTTCATTTGACACTATTAGTCTTTCGTATTTATTTGTGTAAAATGTTATATTTATTTTTTCACTTTAATAGATATTTTCTAGTCTACTGTAAACAATTTTTATCTAAGGACAAATCAGTGACGTATGTTCACAAAATAAGACAAGAGGGTCATGATGACCCTAGATCACTCACCCGAGAAATATTTCCAACACAAGTGAATATTAGAGTATGCTCCTTGTCAAACATAAAGCATCTGGACTTTATGGTTTCTGAGAAAAAGGGGATTTTTCTTCAAATGTTCACAACATAAATCTTTATAAAAGTCATTACTAACACTAGGGCTATGACTCTTCAATGCAGGATCGAATCAGGCCATGTCTGTAAAAAAGATAAGTAATGATTATAATGCCTACCGGTGACAAAAGTTCACGTTTTGTTAATGTTATCATTCAGACCAGTTGATATATGGTAATATTGTACATTCAATGGGCAATAACTCTGTAATGTACTAAGGGATAATAACAGTTTAAAATGGTC